CTTATTGATGAAAAAGTCAATAAAATTAAGAGCATTTCCCTTTTCAAACTGTACACATGTGGTTGCTAATAACTTAGACACACTTGAAAGGGGAAAGCCGCAAGCACACATGTCCTGGAATTCAGTCTCTACAGCAGGACACAGAATGCATCACCTTCAACGGATGGGTGCAAACTCTGCAGAAATGCAACATGTACAGTGGGTGGTTATTTTATATCGGGGGTAGGGAACCTATGGCCCTCCAAGATTCTGCCAGACTACAATTCCCATCATGCCTGACCATTGGCAATGGTGGCTGTTGATGGAGGGAGTTGGGTATGCGGCATTTCTGGGCATGGCATTGGGGGGGGGGGGCTTCCTGACTAGGATATGGTAATCTCAAAGCAGTGGCTCATACAGAGATACAATAGGTTGCCTAACCTGGAGGCAGGTTAGTCTCCTGTTTCTCTACATCAGGTATAACTGAACGATTCAATTCAGAGCTGAAACAGAACGACCCAACCCATAGCAAATGCTGATTGGCAGGAGGCAACCACAGAGCAGTCATTCTGACAGTGTTAGAAACTCAGATATATAAGCTATGGGCCAAATGGCTCCTTATACCAAGGATACAGTCACCAAAATGGAATGTCTATTTGTCATTTTTTGGGTAAGACAGCTCTAAAGTCTTGTTTTTCAAATGATGGGCTGACTGTGATTGATTCTCAGTTAAACATCTGGCTAGTTCAGATGACAACCTTGAGCTCGCTTAAGAACTTTGAGAACTTAAAAGAAGAAAAGTCACTTGATCCAAGGACAGTCCACATATATATCAGTCTACATCTACCTCTTTTTCTGCACAGAAAAAGCATTTCGGTGCCCAAAATTCATTCCGAGCGTTCAAATGAAATATAGCAAATATAATTCTACAGGATGTGTTGCTTGTGTGTGAAAACAGTCAAGATCCAACAATCCCCAGGCATGCACCTCCAGATGGTGACCCATCCTGGCACCCAGGCATCTTCACTTAGTTGCCTGCGGCTGATAGACAGGTGCAAAAGGCACCTGGCGCCTGGCTAATTTCGAACACTGGTCACTCATACAGAAATGCAACAGACCTCCTCCTCCTCAATGAGCAGTGGGGGGGAGGAAGATACTTCTGCTATGTCTTTGCAATGAGAGCCACTGGATGACTCAATTGGCCCTGCAAAAGGGACAGAATGACCTATCCACAATGCTGACAGGAATCAGGTGGAGAGAAAGCAGCCGCTCAAACATGCAGAGATGAAACGAGCAGCCTTCTCCGTGCAAGCTCCTTTAATAATTTAATTCGTTTATTTCTCACGCAACGCCAGTTTGGAGAATGACTGACATGTCGGGCTTGAGGTCATGTTGAGTGTGCTAGAGCTTGACAGGTATCACCCTTTCTGAGTCCATGGTCAGAAGCAACCAGAAAGGGTGGCGATTGTTCTAGGTGGAAATCAGTATGCCAAATAAAATAAAGAAATTGAAACAACAACCCTTAGTTTGGCCAGCAACCTAGACTGCAAGATACTTGACAGGCGAGAACTCCACCCAAAGTAAGGAGGCCTAACATTATATGCCTTTGAGGGACGGAGGGAGGCAAAGAGATAAGGGCTTGGGATGGCCGAGCCCTGATCCTACAACAAAGGTGACACCAGAGGAGGCTCCTTAGGGCTGCAAGTTCATTTTGGCCAATTGCAAAATCTGTTTGCATTTCAACTTGTTGCACTGTAAATTGTTCAACACCTCTTTGGGACGGTGGTGTGGTGTTTATAGCGCAGGCATTTTGAGACGCCAGCTGCATTGTGCAGATACCACAGGTGAGCCATGCATGAAATTCACTGTGAAATCAAGTTTGACATGCTACATATGGCACCAGTGCAGACAAGTCCCAAGTCAGAAGAGCTAGGTTATATAGTACAAGACTGAGACCAGCTAGCAGATGTGGCTGTACTGGACCTGGAAAATAGGTGCTGCAAAGACATATGCATCTATGTATCCCTTTGAGTCACACAGAACTCTTAATCAGGCAGAAGGGAAAAGTAGGTGTTCACAGGCACACTGGCCCAAACACCACCACGACTATTACATGCACCTTGCCTAATCTGCCTTAGAGTAGGTCAAAGGTAGGGGATCTGTAACCCAGCCAGCCTGGCCAATGGTCAAGGATTATGGGAGTTGTAGTCCAACTACATCTGAAAGGCCACAAGCACCCCATTCCTAGACTAAGCAGTTGAGTTTCTCCTGGATCCGCAAAATAAGATAAAGCAATATGTTATTTTACTAAACGAAATTCACTCTGTTGCGTAGATGTGTGCATGCAAGCCTTCAAATTACACAGCACATTTCATTAGACATAATGAGAAAGTAGCTAATCCTTTTGGAGAAGAGTTGGGCAAACTTCAGGCTTCTCAGAGCTTTGTTTGTGTTTAACTTCAACCCCGAGAGCCACCAGCCAGAATCCTATGCAAAAGACACACAGAATTAAATAACACCTCTGAGCAAATGCTAAGCCTAGAAAGGTGTTTTAGTACTTGTTTTGAACAGAGCTGACTGTCCTTACACACAAAAATCCACACCTGCTTGGCTTTCCTCATTTCAGCAGCCTAATTTAGGTGAGGAAAGTTGCTTTTCTTGTTGCTATTGTTAATTGTTACTGGGAATCAGAAACCCTCCCCAGTCTACAGCAGATCACCAGGCAGATCCCAATCTACCGTCTGCCCGCCCCTGTTTCAGAGTATATACACCTGGCAAACTTGGCTGCAAACACAAAATGCCACCACCGCAACGCATATCCCACTGAAACTTCACCTAATCTTTTTGAAGAGAGTCCTTTTTCTCCCTGGCACCCCACACACTGACAAGGTTGTGCCACCGTTTGACGTGACAGCCAGATATCGCAGAGGTGAGCCTTTCCCCCATCACGCCTTGCCGCAGCAAGAAGCTACATCGGTTGGATTTCTGCCTCTCACTGTCAACAAAGGCAGATAAGCTTTTGCCAGGGGAAGGGAAGGAAGGGCGGGCGGGCGGAGAGGCACCAAACCACCAAAACAGTGCCTTGGCATAGCAAAAAGAAAAAAGAAAAGCTGCGCCTGTTGAATTGCTGTATCTCACACTTATTAAAGCCAAAGGCGCCATGGGAAAGAGAGAGATGAAAGACACCTGCTGAGAAAAACAGCAGAAAGCCAGACTTTGGAAAAGTCCCTTCTCCCCCAGCCCCGCCAGAAAGCGGAGTCCCAACTCCCGGTGTGGGCATTACCTGTTGCTGGCTCCCCCAGAGGAGTCCCGGAGTGGCCCTTGGAGCGCAGCCGGGGGCCGAAGAAGCGCTCCGGCGCCACCTCCGAACTGGCGCGCCCTCGAGGGGTTCTGCCTGCCCGGCACCGTCGCCGGCTGCTGCTGCTGCAGCTACTGCTGCTCCCGAGGGGCGGAGCCGGGCGCCGCCTGCCCGCCCATCCTTCCCTCCCCATCCGACTTGTTGCTGCCGAGCGCCGGCAGGGCCGCCCCAAGCGGCCAGGGAGCGGCTGGTCTTCTCGGCTCCCCAGAGCGCGTGTGAAAACTCTCCCGGGCAGCTGACGGGAGCCGGGCAGCGACCTCTAGCGGGCCGCCCTGCGCCACGCAACGGCTGCACCCGGGCGACGAAAAAGCCCTGAAAGGTGCCCGGACAAGCTGAGGCAAAATGTGGTGTCGCCTCTGCTGCCAAAATGGTGGCTTGGGAGGGAGAAGCTTTCAGGCCAAGTGTACTTAGTGCCCGTGGATTAGGTCCATGCCCAGAGTCAGCCCATTCACCCCTATACCTCCGTAATGCCGGCTCTGACTGGCAGTGGCTCTCCAGGGTTCTCAGACAGGCGTGTTTTCCCCCCAATCCCAGCCCTGTCTGGCGATGCTGGGACTCGAACCTGGGGCCTTCCACATGCACAGCCCTTCTTTCCTTTCTGGGAATCCAGCCTTAGATAAGAAAGAGGCAGGCTTGTGGCCATTTTCTGAAAGCAGGGCTGGCTTGGCTCAAGAAAGAGGCAGTGCAGTGTAGTGGTTAGCGTGTCATACTAACCACAGAGTGGGAGTCCAGAGTTCAAATCCACCCTGGGTGATCTTGGGCCGCTCACTGCCTCTCAGCCTATTCTTCCCTCACAGGGTTGTTGTGAGGATACAAGGGGGGAAGGGAACCATGTACACCACCTTGAGATATAAATGTGATTAAATTCGTTGCTGCCAGTTGAAACTTGCTTCCAGTTCTTGCATTGAAGCGCCCTTGGGGGCGGCAGGCGGTTTATGAGACACAGGGCATAAGCTTAAGGCCAGCCCAGGCTGGACTTCATGAGATGGTCAAGGATAGTCCAAAGAGAACCTGGAGGATTCTGTTGCAGTCGTCCGATTGTTCCTGTTATTTGCGAAGAGACACAGCAAAAGAATATTTGCGCACCACTGAGGGTAGAGGTTAAATGACTGGGGAAGAGGAGACCACTTTGCTCATGCGCTTATCTGCCTCACAGGGAGGAAGGGGGGGGATACAAGTGCAAGACATCCCATAATAAAGTTGGGACTTCCCTAGTTTGATTACAGACATCCATGGGACTCACAACTTGGAAAATATTAGGATTGTTCCACTGGACTGCGTAGCATTGCTGCTAGCACGTAATTGCAGCCCTGGAGCACTGCCACAAAGATGCACAAGGGACACTGATGCAGCTGTGGAAGCATTTATGGAGAAAGGAGAATTACCCTACACTATGTACTCAAACTTAATATGGCTTAAATTATGATCAAATAATTGATATCGGCATGGATTCTCACATTATGACCCAATCAACCAGTCTCTTTATTATGGTCAATGACCAGTATTCACACATTATTTAAAGCACAAAAGAACCACCCAAACCTATTTGTGTGTTCAAAGGCCCTTTCCACAGTTGAAAGTAACCACTTATTTCTTTTGGCCACTGTTACAGCTAATCAAACAGGTTGGGCCAGTTTATGAAGCATTACCAAAAAAAGAAGTAGTGAATAGCATTTAATCAAATGATGGTTTAACAAACAAATGACTACATGAAGCACGAGCAACAACAGCTCTATCATAACACTCTGTTTGCTTTACAAATAAACAAAAACAGTATCTTGTCTACTGTTAAAAGAGTTCAGCATTCTTAACTATACAGTGGTACCTCAGGGTACAGATGCTTCAAGTTACAGACTCCACTAATCCAGAAATAGAACCTCGGGTTAAGAACTTTGCTTCAGGATGAGAACAGAAATCACGCGGCAGCGGCGTGGCAGCAGCGGGAGGCCCCATTAGCTAAAGTGGTACCTCAGGTTAAGAACAGTTTCAGGTTAAGAACGAATCTCCAGAACAAATTAAGTTCTTAACCCGAGGTACCACTGTATACTGAAGTTCTGCACCATAAATCAGTATTACAGTACTCCATGTCAAACTTTTCATCTGGAAGCAAGTTATAAAAATATTCCTGGTCACATAGATGGTGATGCATGGGAAACATCAATCTCAATAGGAGTATCTCCTGCCTTGAGCAACTTAACTAGCAGTAAGTGTATGATTCTTAGTCATTCCATTTACAATTAATTTACTTTTCTCCTTCCTACTCCATCTCAGCTTATCTTTAAATCTCACTCCTGTTTATCTATACTTCTGATTTCTTTGAAACGTTTCTGAAGCCATTTGGGTAAGACTGAATTTCTTTCCCAAAAGACTTAGCATTCTAATAAAGAATCCTATCAGATATATAAGCATCCCTTTCAAACAGCAGGCTATTCAATTAGGTATCTTAGGGGGTCAATCAAGCAATCTATTAGTGTGGTTAGGAGAGGGATGGCGAACCTGTGGCCCTCTGAGGTTACTGAACTCCAATTCCCATCAGCCCCAGCTAGCATGGCCAATGATCAGGAATGTTGGGAGCTGTGGCCCCAAAATATTTGGAGGGTCAAAGTTTCCCCATTCCTAAGCTGGGACTTTGAAAATCAAAGGAGTGAAACCAGCATCATGCATCTGTATGTAAATTACTGGAAACAGACATGCCACTTAAAGTAATGCAACTTTTTTATTTTTAAAAGGCTGCACTTTTCTCTAAAAATGCATGTAGTAGATAAAATTGGTGATGGTTGTGGTTCAAAAAAACAGGCCATTATAGTTTATTATCTTTAAATAAATATGCAAATTACGGATCTTCATGGCAGGTATCTTTTCAGACAGTGAAAGCAGTATGAGATAAATGTATGACTTTAACAAGGCCCCCTAGCGATTGTTGGAAAGTAAGGTTATCATCACATTCCTCCCCACCCACCGCCCATCTGTTTAAGCAGTACACGGGAACCAAAATGGCCTGCTTGCAATTGCGCTCTTAACTCTCCATTCCACCAACTAAAATTAGCCCCCATTGAGAAAGCAACTAAAGTTTTCTGGTGATCGATTCATCTGACAATTGCACCAATGAAAGCTTACAGGCCTCCAGAAAAAAAATGATATTTTCACAAAATAAAACATGTTTTTAAACACGTTTCTCTGCAAGAAAACCTCAAATTAAGCTTTAAGATTGTGTGATTTGTAACTGTCATTAAGCTGTACAACTGGAACGGCTAGCCCTGGTGAATTCGCAACTGACATGCCAAGTCCATACACAAGCTTTCTCAGTGACCCTGGAAGCATCTTGGATTTCCTTCTCTCACTGAAACTGCTTGGGTTGTATTTCACAACCATCTCTCTGCGTTACTGCACAATGGAGTGGGGGGGGGGGCGGAGAGGAGACTACACCACCCCTAACGAAACCAGTCACCTGTTTCACTGCAAAGTCATAATTTTTAGAAGAAGTTTGAAGGTTTCCTATGAAAAGAACATAACTTTGTTGTGACCCAGGACTTGAGATTCATCTGGAGGCCACCTCATCTCATAGTTGAGCTAAGAATAACTCACCTTGAAACAGGCAATTAGGCTATGTGTTAACTATATCAGGTTACTGGCACCAGAAGGCAAGGTTTCAGACTTACCTGTGAGCATTCTGTTTCTGCAGAGGTGGCATGAGCACCTACAAAAAAAGGGAAGCTCTCATCTCAGGCTTCAGCACAAGCAAAGATGGTAGCAAACACATACAAGCTCCATTAGCAAAGAAGATACCACTGAGTTACAGCCCTTGGGTAAAACTACAGATAAGCAATAGACCACAGCACAATGGACAGCAAGAGCTACTTCCAGAAGCTCTATTCACATATATTTTCTAAACAGATGTATAGGTTCACATTTAGTTCTCATCAGCCCTGCCTTCTAGGGGGGAAATCCAGATACAGTGGTAGCTCAGTTAAAGAACAGCCCTGTTTACAAACTATTCAGTTTACGAACTCCGCAAAACCAGAAGTAGTGTCCCGGTTTGCGAACTTTACCTCGGTCTAAGAACGGAATCCAAATGGTCAATGGGCACCGGTGGTGGGAGGCCTCATTAGGGAAAGCGTGCTTCAGTTTAAGAATGGCTTTGGTTTAAAAACGGACTTCCGGAACGGATTAAGTTTGTAAACCTAGATACCACTGTATTCCCCCGGCCAATGTAATTAACGAAGAAAAGCATACCAGGAAGGGATACAAATGAAGATTTTCCTTATGGCTTGCAGTTCTAGTTTGAGCAAGATCTTCTTCAATGCATCCAACCTCTGAAAAAAATCTTCCATATATAAAAAGCATGTTTTGCTTTTAGTTTGCTAACATATAACTTGCTAACAGCAGGTGATGCTGTGGTCTAAACCACTGAGCCTCTTAGGCTAGCTGATTGTAATCCATGTGACAGGTTGAGTTCCCATTGCTTTGTCCTTAGCAGTTCGAAAGCATACCAGCGCAAGTAGATAAATAGGTACCGCTGAGGCGGGAAGATAAACGGCATTTCTGTGCACTCTGGCATTCGTCACGGTGCTCCGTTGTGCCAGAAGTAGTTTAGTCACACTGGCCACATGACCCGGAAAGCTGTCTGCGGAGAAACGCCAGCTCCCTCGGCCTGAAAGTGAAATGAGCACTGCAACCCCATGGTCGAATTAGACTGGACTTAACCATCTAGGGGTCCTTTACCATTACCTTTTTAACATAAATATACTAGATTAAACCAGAACCCTGGCTAAAAGAGATGAGGACCCAGCTGGTACTAACTTGCTAGGTAGTAACTGCTTCTTATTCAGTGATCATGTGCCTCCACCAGCGTAGAACAGAAGCAGAAATAGCCTCTTCAGTTTACTAAGCTTCCAGCATCTGGATTCTTTGCACTGAAAGATGTTAAAAGTGAAGAGGCTGCTTGTTGGTGTGAAAGTTACAAGAGGTGGTCCCATTTCTGAGCCTTTTCACCTTTAAAAAGGCACACATTTTTTCCTGATAACGATGATATTCCTATTTTGGTAAAACGAGTATATTCAGACCTTAACTTATAACTTGCTGATTTGAAGCACAATATCATGGTACAGATCAAATGTAAACTTCTTACATGTTTGGCAATTATCAACATACATAGCCACCATTGGGCAATCCTGGCATCACTGTACAAAACAGACTTGTCATTTGGATTAGAAAGAGTTATGAATAATCAGAGCCCTTCGTCGACACACTGCTCCTATTCCTATGATGTGATGCGGGGGAGAAATCAACCATGTATTTAGCAAATACTCAACATGTGTTTTAATCAGTTGGAATAAATAATGTAGCCAAAGTCAGTGTTGATGTTAAAAATTTTATCCTTAGGATTTAAAGTTATTTTAAAAAAGGGAAATATATTCATCATAAGCAGCATCAGATGCTATTTAAACATGATGTTATTTTCATATTTAACACACATAGCACGAATTCTGCTGAAAAGCTGAGAACACGCATATAGTTTTCCAACATGAAATCAGGCCTTACTGACCACCAATTGTTCCATGTGAGAAATTTAAAATCAGAAACGACACCATCTAATTTCACTGAAACTGCCATATTTCTTTCTATTTGAATAGCTGGGTATTCCATAAATGTCTCTTCAAGAAAGCAAGGAGAAAAAGCTGAAGATACCTGAATTATCTGTCTGTGACCATATAATTGAGGGCCCAATGGGTTTGTATAAATAAAGTCCAACTTTACACAATATAGGCAGAAATATTTTAACAGTTAAATTGCTTCTGATTAAAAAAAACCAAAAAACCTTGTGGCAAAAAAAGATAAATCCCAAAGGGTCTTTGTTCTTCAATCACCAGTAATTTGTACCCTTCAAAAAGATACCCTGCCATTTTTCTCCTGCTTCAAAGCAATACTTTTTTGGGAGGAAAGGTATAGTGAAAATAAGAATCAAATGCAATGAACTCTCAGGTGAAGTTGTCCAGCAATGGACATTGTTCCAGTGCCCTCTATAAACCATCAGTACTGTCCTTGTCCAGTCCCATGGGCTTTTTTCTTGCCATGGTAGCAAACAGTGCATCCATCATCCCCAAGACTTCTAGTAATTCTTCTTGGAGATCAATCTCTTTTTCAATGAGATTTTGAAGTTTTAGAAATTGCCTGTCAATAACCGAGGACTGTCCAACCACAGGCATGTAGATTTCTGCGAAGGAAGAGATACAAGTTAAAATGGAACATCCCTGCTTATTGGGGTTTATCACATCTTATAAGCCTAAAACGAGTTTCCAGCCGCACCTTTAAAAAGTCTAAAATCGTTTTATTGAAGACAGCAAGGTTTTGCAGGCTGGCATCTTGCATCAAATGAAAGAGGCAGTGAGAAGTTTAATAAATGCAATACAAATGCTATGATCATCCTGACGGTCATTGTTTATAAAAAAAGACAATGCTTTTTCAATAAAATAAAATGAGGTCTAAAAGTGCTTTCAAAATTGTTCAATTAACAGTTACCTTTATAACTGTTATAAGCAGATATTTTATTAATTTTGCTTTTTAGAAGGAAACCTTTTATTATTATCAACACATTTATAAAAGTGCTTTGCTCAAGCTTCCAAAGCAGCTGGCAACGTAAGTCACAACCAGCTTTCAATTAGTCTCAGGGTCAATTTTTTTTATGGTAGCCCAAATCTCAGTTGTACGGGTGTATGTATATATCTCAATTTTAACTCATGAGCTATTGCTGCAATCTGCTCCAATTGTATTTTTTATCTTTATGAATGCTGTTTTTATTGTTATGTTACGTGAGCTGGTCTTTGACCGTAATAAATTATCTAGTCTCTGTGGAAAGCAAAACAAGGACAGGACTGGCATGGAAGGCTTTCTATGAAAGGGCTTAAATCCAGCCACAAGCAAAACTGTGTGTGTCGACTTTAAAAGGGTCAGCTTCTCACACAGCAAACTGCCCAGTAACTATGATCTCCATCAGACCATCAAGGTGCCTCAGCCACCCAGAGATAGGGCGGCTGGCAAGTGAACTCAGCATCTTTTCAATTGAAGCACCCTGTCCTTGGTCTTCTGCTCAAAGAAGACCTCAGAGCCAATCACTTTTTACATACCAGGTGAGTATCTTTTAATATACATAGGCCTTTAAGAAAAAGTAAAGTTTAATTATTGGTTTGCATCCAGAGGCACAACAGCATAAGGACATTCATGCAAGGGGATTTCCCCATCCCCTCCTCTCCACTGCGGCCCTCTGAAGATGCACGAACTATGGATTCGGGGGCCCCTGTGAAATGCCATGGGATGAAAAGTGGTGCTGCAGTGGGAGCAAGGAAATAAAAATCAGGCCCCTTGCACAAGGTGTCTCCGCTCAGTTTCAGCCAATTTCCTCTATCCTACTGCAGTGCCCCTTGCCTGACCCCATGCCTTTCCCATCTTTCTTCTATAGTAGAATTCAGGATGGCACATGCAGCGATCAGACGATCTCTCATCCAGTCACTAACCAGATCCCGACCCACATCATGCGCCTTCAGACCACAAACTTCTATTAAATTGGTTATCATGGTAGTGTAAGAAAGCCTTGTACACAAAGCAAAGGCCATACCAATACATAGCATGGGCATCCTTCTTTGTGAACAGAAAAAGGGTGTCTTGGGTTACCTGGGTATGAATCAATTCTATTAGTATTGTCAGATATTAGTACTTACCTATAATCATTTCTGCAATGTTTATCAGCACAGGAGCAAATCTTGCATCAGTCACGTGTCTGCAAGTTAATAGCCAGATGTTAGCAATTTTCACTATTGTAGAAGTAACACACTGAAGGCTATGTTCTCTGTCATAGGGAGAAGGTGCTGTACGGAGATGGTGAGATGCAAGTGAGAAATAGAGGACAACTGCTGGCTACCAAAGTTCCTTCCCTTCCATCCTATTTCTGTTAACAAGAGAGGAAGTGAGGGTACTTCTACCAATCATATTTACCTCTCTTCTATGAGCTAGGTATTCAGAATAAGTAAGAATTAAGGATTATACCATTCCAACATCCATATTAAAGAATCACATACAGTGGTACCTTGGGTTACAGACGCTTCAGGTTACAGACTCCGCTAACCCAGAAATAGTACCTCGGGTTAAGAACTTTGCTTCAGGATGAAAACAGAAATCACACAGCGGCGGTGCGGGAGGTCCCATTAGCTAAAGTGGTGCTTCAGGTTAAGAACAGTTTCAGGTTAAGAACGGACCTCCAGAACGAATTAAGTTCTTAACCCGAGGTACTAATGTACATGGAGGACTTCCACCTCTAAACAGCTAGATAGTTGGGCTTCATGAAACCAGAGGTGATGCATGAAAAGGAGAAGAGAGCCACAACTTTCAGGCAAAGGATTTCTTTTTAAGAAGCTTGCAAACGCAATGACTTTTGAAAAGAAGGAACAGATGCCATGTGCCAGGCAGGGAAAGGAAGTTATGGGGCTATAAAGTTGCTAAAAAGCAGGGGTAGCCAACACTATGAACTGCAGATGCTGCAGAGACTCAAACTTCCATCAGCCCTGGCTAGGATGGCCAATGACCCAAGGATAAGGGGAGTTGTTGCCCAGTAACGTCTCAATAGCTCCTTCTGCTCCTCCAGTTATTCTGCCAGCTGCAGCAATCCGAAGAGGAGAGGTGAGAGCTAAAAGCGGGGGGGGGGGGGGGGCTGAATTGCATGTGCCAATCTGACCTAACTTGCTGGCTCTCTGGCTGTAGGCATCTATTTCAGATGTGTACATAGAAGCTAAGCAGTGCTTTGCCAGGACTGGGTTCCTGTGATCATCCCACCCAAACCTTCACAAGCTGACCTTTCTTTGTTCCACTTTGACATGGCAGAATTGAAAGCCTTGCTTTAGGAAGCAGAATCCCCAGTGCCATTTCTCCCAATCTGTAGCCCAATTTTTTGGCCCAGAAAACACAATTACAAAAGCAATTACCTTATCAAGAAAGAAAGGAGGACACTGAGCTGTTTTTCATCTCTCCCTGCGAGTGCGTTTTTCAAGGTTCCTCTGCGGTTTAATTCCTGAAAGAGCGTGACTATAACTTCAGGTGGCTTTTTCCTCGCGGAATCCTAGAAGCACAAAGAAAGGGGGTTGCATGAACTTAAGCAAATTGAATCATGCCTTGTCCATAAAGAAAAGGGAATGCATTCAGAATGTATCTAAAGTTCATTAACGGGACAGCTCATTGGGCTTCTAAGCCTCCAGTTCCTGTCAGTCCTTTAATAGCAAGGAGCTGCTCAAGGACCATCAAGTGAAACATCTACAACTCTGGCTTCTATTCCCAACCAAAATAAGATGTTATTTCTACAAATGGAGCCCATGCCCAGCAGTGGTGATAAGAGTCTGTAGATTTTGGCTAGACTAGAGCTGGGGAATGTTTTTCAGCAAGAAGGCTGCATTTCTTTCTGGGCAATTTTCTGAGGGCCACATATGAGCGCTAGGCGAGGCCAGAGAGAAAAATAGGTAGAGCAATGAAAAGCTTGACATGCATAGATTAGTTTTACATACTCTCATTCCTCTCCCTCTGTCCAAGAATGTGTGGCATAATCAGGAATCCAGGACACATTCTAGTAGGCAAATACACTCAAGGACACAGGAAAGCAGACCTGGTGAGGGGTGTGGCCTGGGAAGAGTCCCAGGGCCAGATGGAAAGGTCTGGAGGGCCATCATCGGCCAGGCAGAAAGGACCATTCTACAGTTACTCCAAGACTAGCACTTGTGAGTTTTGCTTTCTGGTATAAGTAAGTATATAAAACAGAAGAAAGCATGGCTCATCAAATATAAAAAGGTACTTGAGTATTTTTTAGTTCATTAAGGCTCAGAAGTAAACCCTACACAAATGGAGTGGGGTCCCTAAGACAGTTGGGTGGCACCTTGTACGCCTCCTTCCGACAACTCCTGCAGCTGGTGCCAAACGTATTGCTTTGCTGTGCTTTGGACCACATCAGCGAGACTGAGTGGGCGGTCTTTTTGCCTGGGCAGCCCAGGACCTCCATACACACTGCTCAGGCTTGCACCACGGGGAGGTCGCTTTGGTGTTGCTGACACAAGAATTTGACTTCACCCCCGAAGGTGCACTGCACTGTCTCTCGAGACAGATGGATGCCAACTACAACAAAAATACACAACAACCTTTTCTTGAGATTTCCCACTGTTGGCAGTAACATCCATGCTGTAACTATGGGCTTTATCTCTACTGACTGTACATGATGACTACTGCAAACACAATGGAACAGCCTCTCCCTCTCCTCCCTCCACGTTCCCCCAAATCTGATCCAGAGCTGGAGGGACCCCAGAGCAGAGGAAGGGCAAGTTGTGTTGTACTTGTGGGAGTCATTCTGCACAATTATTTAGTTGTACACAGCCCTATGAACAATAGAAGGCCTTTGTTTATGGATCATTTTATGGCAGATTCACTGGAAAGAGTTTTACGGTACAATAGTGTAACTGAAACAGAATCACTCAATCTAAAAGGTGACTCAAGTCCTACTAGCTTACCTCAAGTACAGCATCAAGAGCCTTAGAAACCTGGAAACTTCTCAGGAGCTTATCATATTTCTTCAAATAGGTTTTGGCAGGCCTACTTACAATGAAATCCTCCTAAAAGATGAAGGGAGAGACAATCCATGATAAAACCCACAAATCACCATCCCACCTACTTCAATATCACCTTTGTATTGTTTGCATAGTTTATCCTGCCATAGAAATGCAAAACCAGACACATTTTGTTCTTGTCAAGTTTATTTTCCCCTACACCCAGTACAGTGTTACCTCGGGTTAAGTACTTAATTTGTTCCAGAGGTCCGTTCTTAACCTGAAACTGTTCTTAACCTGAAGCACCACTTCAGTTAATGGGGCCTCCCGCTGCCACTGTGCGATTTCTGTTCTCATCCTGAAGCAAAGATCTTAACCTGAAGCACTATTTCTGGGTTAGCGGAGTCTGTAACCTGAAGCATATGTAACCCGAGGTACCACTGTACACTAAAAGTAAGGAATGGTCTGATTCAGTATACGGCAGCTTCCTAAGTTCCTCCAACTGATCAGTCAATGAAATGTTGCAGCCTAACTAACTTCCCCTTAAGTCTTTGTTACTCAGTTTCAAAAACATGATGTGTTAAGGCACCTCTTTTGCTAGTAGAAAACAGGACTTGCTCTGTGCATCCTTTTGTTCCATACCTGCTTCGGCATGTAGTTCTTTCCTTTCACAAAGGTCCTATAGGCGGGCCTTCTCCTCTGCTGAAGAAGCTCTCTTGCACCTTCATGCTTCCGGTGTTTAACATTCAGTATTCCATTTGTCATGCCTACAACTAGAGATTCATCCTCAGGCTAAAAAGAAAGAGAAACAGGCTTGCTTACCCAGAAACTGTAACTCAGACACACATTTTTAGTTCTCTGGCTTTAGTTTAAAGCTTCCCATTTACAGCAAAGAAGAATTGCCTTGGGTAACATTTATTTTATTAAGAGATTTTTTTTTAGCTGCCCTTCAGCAGTTAGGTATCAGGGCAGTATATAAAATAAGGAAACAATGGCTTCTAATATCCTATTCTGAGCAGAGGGCAATTGTGAAAAGACATCAAGAATGGAATCAAGTTAAAGGCTGTCCCTAATTACCTGGCCTAGGCTACACCCACAACACATATATCAGGCACTCTCATTCCCTTTTAAAAGTCATAGCTTCCCTCCTGCAAAAAATCCTGGGTACCGTACTCCGTTTAAGGGCCTCCTAACACCTCTCAGCTCCCTTAACAACTACTATAGCTCCAAGCATTCTTGGGGGTGGGGACGACTCTTAAAGAGGAACAAGAGAGCTTTAAATGTATGATGGAGCTGTGACCCAGGTGAGGTTAAGCCCCAGCAACTTCTTCTAGTCTAATAATGTAATCTTATGCATGCTTATTCGAAAGCAAGTTCCACAGGGTTTATTTAAAGATAAGCATGCATAGGATTGTGCTGTCCAGTGCTTGAGGGATTGAAGTGATCGACATTGGTGCCAACAGCCTTTAACTTGCCAAATTTGATGGTTCATGTACCTATTGACAATTAAGGCGATCTAAGATGGCTTTGGGCAGTACTGTCACCTCACCTGTAATCACCTGCCTGGTGCAAACAATATCTATTTGAAAGAAAACCTGGTGCAATACATTCCAGACAGACCCCTTTCGAGGGGGGAGGGCGTTTTCCACATTGCTTCCATACCATTATTGCAAGCACAACTGAAAGAAACCTCTTGGGGTGCCTACCAATCCTACAATTCTATGAAGAAGCCAGTGTGTGACCTAGTGTGTGTCTAAGCTCAATTTTCAAATTGTCAGGTAGTCATCACTTGCCAGAAGGTTTATTTTAGTACTTACTGCCAAGGCAAGACTGAGAATAGATGCTGCATAGTTAAAGCTGTGGACGACCTTGTAGGAAGTTGTACTGTAAACCTTCACATGCCTACAAAGAGAAAACAAAAATACTGATTTCAGAGTAGGTTAAATATTTCATGAAAATGTGACTTGCACCCAGTTGCTACAAAAAATAATAATAATAATAATAATATGTGGCTAAACCCATATTTTCAAGTCATATCTTTTAGTGAAGGGGGAAACCAGAAGTAGAGTAAGAATGCACGCAAGTCAATATTCTAGGAACGCTGCTAAATTGTATATCCAGCTCTACATTCTGCAGTCTGCTTGTTTATTGAATTTATAACCCACCATTCCTCCCGAAGGAGCCCAAGATAGCAAACAAATCCACAATTTAAAGACAAAAACAAAGCAAAAACTTTCTGAAAACAATTGCATGTAAAAACAACAACAACAACAACAACCATTCTTCCAACCAGCGATTTTCGTGTTGCCAGGAGCAGAATTCCACCAAATTCCTGGGTAAAAAGAAATTTTTCTGAAATTCCTTCTGAAAGCTAATGGTGATAAAGGCACCTTTAACCAGTTGCAAGACAAAACAGAAAACACACAGCTCTGTGTATGGAATTACACTTCTACATGGAAAGCTCTCTAAAAAGCCAGTAAGAGAAACTGAAAAATACAAACCTGTCTAGTGAGCCGGAAAGCAGTCTCTGACCAGAGCTACTCAGACACAAACAGGTTACAGTCTTATGGTGATTTCTCAAGGACACTAGTAACTGTCCTCCTCTAAGGAAGTCCCAGACTTTAACATAACGACCACCTTTTAAAAAGAAAGGATTATTTGTACACAAATAGTAAACAAGGCATTTCATAGGCATGCCACAATTTTCCCTCTAGGCCAGGGTTTCCCAAACTTGGATCTCCAGCTGTTTTGGGGACTACAATCCCCATCGTCCCTGACCAATGGTCCTGCTAGCTAGGGATGATAGGTGGGGGAACTTATGGCCCTCTAGATGTTACTGAACTGCAACTGCCATCAGCCCTAGCTAGCCTGGCCACTGATCAGGGATGGTGGGAGCTGTAGCACAGCAATCTCTAGAGGACCACATATTCCCCACCCAGAACATATAATCTAATAGAAGATAAAACATCCCCTTACAGTAGGAAGCACTTGTCTCCCATACAGACTGCATTATACACAGAGACCTACATGAACAGCAGCAAAAGGAAAGACACACATATCTCCCTCTGACACTCCAAAGTCAATCTTGCATGTTTTTTTCTTAAAAGGATGATGGAAAACCAAGACTGAAAACAGCATTTCAATATGCCCTTGAAAAAAGAAAAAAGACTTAGAAGCTACTATCTAGCAAGCACAGGGCTTCAGCCACAAATGGTACAGAACCTTGCAGAAGCACACTCTTGTCACTCGGGTCTGCACCCTCTATCGATGACAAAGAGGGAAATAAATAAGAGAATCATTGCAGATAGAACTAGAAACAAGCTGTATGGTTGGGTGGAAGGAGGGAGGGAGGGAAACTGCCCGTTTGATGAAATACCTGCAGTCACAAGAAGACCTCCGGAAGGAAAGAGATTAACACTCTCAACCGGCTGCCCATGTTCTATCGTCATGACACTTTTTTCTGCCCGTGTATCAAACACTTTCACAGTATGATCGTATGAACCTAGAAGGCATCCCAGAAATAAGGAAAAAGAAGAGTTTGAGGGTTGTAACAGTTGACATCATGACTACAAGCCTACTATTTCAATGAGTCTGTACTGCATATGACTTAGCCGGATGCAACCCCAAGATTTTAACATACATAGAATAACAGAATGTTGTTCTAGGTGCAACCCCCCCGCCCAGACCCAAAGCATGTGTATTATTGAAACAGCCACGGGACTAATATAAAACATCAATGATCAACTACATCTCACCCTTCCACACCAAATCACACTGAAAGCAACAGTTCTGAAGGGACACACCACTTTACCCAAGCATGATTCCAGAAGTTACTGTTATCAAGTCTAAAATAAATTGCTCACTAAAAAGAGTGCAGCAAACACTTGTGGGGTTTGAATCTTGTTTTCATTTGATTTGTGATTTTAATCCATGGAAACCATTTAGTGACTCCTCTCTCATCGCCCATAATGTCTGGGCTGCTATATTTTTAAATGAGCCAACTACAATTATGTCTTCTTATGCAATGACTTCTACTTAGATCAAGAGTGAAGAAAAGAAAATGCAAGTGCAAAAAAAAAATTCAGCTTAAGCAGAAAATCATTCTGCCTGAACAGAGCCACAAAAATTTGCAAGCAGCACAATATTAGGTAAAGGGACCCCTGACCATTAGGTCCAGTCGTGACCGACTCAGGGTTTGCGGCGCTCATCTCGCTTTATTGGCCGAGGGAGCCGGTGTACAGCTTCCGGGTCATGTGGCCAGTATGACTAAGCCACTTCTGGCGAACCAGAGCAGCACACGGAAACGCAGTTTACCTTCCCGCCGGAGCGGTACCTATTTATCTACTTGCACTCTGACGTGCTTTCGAACTGCTAGGTTGGCAGGAGCTGGGACCAAGCAACAGGAGCTCACCCTGTCACAGGGATTCGAACTGCCGACCTTCTGATCTGCAAGTCCTAGGCTCTGTGGTTTAACCCACAGTGCCACCCACGTCCCCTAACACAATATTAAGAAGGCATTAAATTAGAGAAGCAAATGGCAGTTACAGAGCAATAAGGAAAGCAAGCCTTCTATAGCAGGAATGGGGAAACTCTTTCAGCCTGAAGGTCACATTCTTTTCTGGGCAACCTCCCAAGAGCAAAATGCCAGTGGTGGGTGGGGCCAGGGGCAAAAGTGGGCAGAGCAATAAATGTACCTTTGTGAGGAGCAGGCTAGTTGTCTCACATATACACCTCTCTGTCCTCCCATCCAGGAAACTAAGTAGCCATTATCAAAGTTCAAGGACATATTCCAGCCAGGCAAAAGCACTCAAGGAGGGCATGAAATGGGGCTGGTGAGGGGTGTGGCCTAGCCAGATCATGTGCTGGAGGGGGGCATAGGGAAAAAGAACCAAGGGCCAAATAGAGTGACATGAAGGGTTGCATTTGGCCTCCAGCCCTGATTCTCCAGCTCTGTTTTATGGTAAACCTGCAATATCTACAAAGAAAGTGTGCCCAGAAGTGACACAGAGAAGTAGAACGTGAACCACCAACCTGTTACAAAAAGATCAGCATTCAGTTTACTAGTACAGCCACATCTCACATAGTCTGTGTGCTCGTTGTAGGATACGATTTCTGATGCGGATGAAATGTCCCACACCTTTGATGTGTAATCATCTGCTCCAGATACTATTCGGAATTTATCGGATAGAAAGCCCACAACATGTACTGCTCTAAAAAGAAAGATTCAAAGTTCCCCAAATTAGTCCTTTGGAACGTTTGGTCACATACATGAATTTTCCATTCATCTCCAGTATTATTTATGGTGATGACGGCTACATTTATATCCCACCTTTCCTCCAAGTTCAAGGAGGCATACATGGGCCTCCGCTCCCCATTTTATCCTCACAACAAGCCTGTAAGGCAGTTTACTACTGACAAATGTCTAAAGGACCTAGACACAAAAGCTTTCAAGGCAAATCCAGGAATTGGAAATCCTGAGAATATTCTGCTGAGATGACCTTGGATGTGTGGTCTGATGTGACGAATTCACCAGAAAGCTAAATGAAATTTCCTGCTTTTGTACATCATAAAAAAAGAAAAGTAGACATACTAAAGTGAGCCACCTGGAATGGACTGAGGTGTGAACCAGTTTCCTCAGGTGACTAGTATTCCAGAACAGCAGGACCATAACTGACAAAGCCTTGCATGGATCTTTAGCAATCAAAGCTCTCAAGACGAAGGCACACAAAGCTCAATTTGGCAGGAAGGTTCAAATGGGAAGTCATCAAAGAAAAATTCAGTGCAAAATGCAGGCTACAAGCTTGATGCATTGTGATTACCCAAAAAGCACTCATTAAATGCATTTTCAATACCCAGGGACCTTGCAGAGTGTAACACAAATCTTTGCAGAATGGACCTGTTTTAAGTAAAATATGCTCTCTTACTTAGTATGGCCATCAAACTGTCGCAACGCTGCTCTCCCACTGGTATCAAAGAGTCGAATGCTGCCCTCTTCACTGCCAGCAACCAGCAACTTCCCATCATCTCGATACGTAGCACAGTATGCTACATCTTTGAAGCGAGAGAAGGTTTTGATTGGTTCTTGAGAGTATCGACCGTAAATGTGGATCTAGAACAAAATGTAATGTGTACATGGAGAGCATGACAACCAGAAGCAACTGAAATACCAAACTATCTCTTTTGCCCAATAGCAGTATTGTTGCTGGACTTCAGCCATTCATTCCATCTATTGTTAGCACAAGGCCCTTCATGGATGGAGAGGGGGAGATTTGGTCCTGTAGGCTCTGTGCACAAAGGTATATTCCTCTATGGAATTTGAGCATAAAGTGTCAAAAATGGATGATGATAAGGGGCAGGGTTTTCCATTAATGCAATGACAGCCCTGAAAAATTAATTCCCCACCCCCACCCCATTGGTCTGAATGGCAACCAGTTACTTACACGGGACAAAGTAAAAGTGCAACACTCAGTGGACTATTGGGTTTTGTGAACCACTTCCAGGCTATACATTTGATTTGATTCCAAACCATGCAAGCATCATTGTGATGTCAGGTGATTGGCAAACAGGTGGTCCCACCTACCTGTCAAATTTGGCTTGCAAGGGATGGGAGAGAGAATGCCGTTTACCTTGCCGCTGGAGCAGTACCTATTTATCTACTTGCACTTTGACATGCTTTCAAACTGCTAGGTTGGCAGGAGCAGGGACCGAGCAACGGGAGCTCACCCCGACGTGGGGATTCGAACCGCCGACCTGATCGGCAAGTCCTAGGCTCTGTGGTTTAACCCACAGCGCCACCCGCATCCCTGTCATCAAAAATTACAATATATAAATAAACTTTTGCTGCTTAAGTAATAAGTTTTCCCCCATCCTTCCATTGCCAGAAATGCTTTTCCTTCCAGCATATGTTTCATCCCTTTTTAGTTTATTTTCTAAATAATGCATGTATCCTAATGCCCCAAACAATCAGGTGATAATTATCTGTATACAACAAAAATTTCAACAGGGCTTTATGGAGGCAAACGGGATTGTAAAGGCCCTTTGCAGATAAAGGCAGCACAGTCCTATGGTGTTACTTCCGCAGCTGCAACAGAAGCAGACAAAATAAGTGTGCAAGCGAACTTAGCAGAGCCCTATATAATACAAGTACAAGAAGAGGCTATGAAAACTGGACTATATTTTAAACCTTACCCTTGATGAAGCTGTGACAGCATAGTTATATGGAGGAACTGGAGAAAAGTCTATTTTGTTCACTGCACCAAACTCCTTTATCTGAATAGGAGCCTTAAAAAAATGGTAACATAATTAACATTGTGTTCTTAAGACAGTTCCTTTAACAGGATATTTACAAAAGTGAGAGAGAAGATCAAAATGTTAAAATATTTATTAGATTACAAACTTTTAAAAACCATTCAGAAATGTACTAGGTTTTATTTGTTTCAGTGCTATAACTCCTATATGGAATTGCATGTACAGGATTTCATCTGATTATTTAATTCATGTACTTGCATTGTTGTTTCTCTGTTTCATTATAGCTGTTTTTAAAAGGTTTTAAATTTTTCTTTGCACTCTAGTGTCATAACAAAGCAGTATAATTGCGGCAGAGGTACACCTATTTAAGAAAACCATATATATATATATATATATATATATATATAATATTATTCTAATATAAGGAAGCACAGAACTCAAATGCAAAGTTTCCATGCATTCTCTTTCAATCTCCAAGTCAAATTAGTGAGATTGAAACAATGTATTATTACCTTGAAATTCTTCCAGTACGAAGTATCCTTTGTTACTTTCTCACCAAGCTTTGGAAAAGACTGAACTTTAACAGGTTTGTACTCAGCCATTTTATCTTAAGTACAGTAAAAGTTCTTCAAGTAGCAAAATATAATCTTCCAGCGCTGCAAATTTCATATGGTGAAAGTAGAACAGGCTTCTGAGGAGGGGAGAACAAGAGTACACAAAACACTGAAATCTATCTATAGTACTAAGCAAACATGTACTGCAAATTTTAAAGCAATTCACAAACTATTCGTTACCCCTATGAACTAACCTACTCTCCCTCATTTTGACTGACATGATACATTTTAATCCTCATCTAAAACAAGTATTTTGTTCCTCATTATACAGCTTCAATATTTGGCAGTATTCTGTATCTAAAGCAGACTAGAATAGCTGTCCAAACCCTTCTAACGGAACTCAGTACATATCAGTATTTTGCCTCAAAAACAAAACCTATATATCCTGAACTTGTAAAGCAACAAGTGGTTTCAAAACAACTCTGAACTGTCTTAAGGTTCTCCAGGATCACAGGATCTTGTGCAAAGCAATCACAAACTGAACTGACATGAAGTCTAGGGAATAAATGATCATAGGAGTAGAAAGCTGCCTTATACTTAGTCAGACCACTGACCTATCTAGCCAAGTACTGTCCACAGTAACTGGCATCAGCTCTTCAGAATTTCAGACAGGGGACATTCCCAGCCCTACCTGAAGATGCAAGAGGTTGAATCAATAACCTTATGTTTCCATGCTCTACCACTGAGCTACAGCCCTTTGATAAAACTACAGAAAAGAAAAAACTCAGAGCACTGCCGTTTGAGTTTCTTAAGGGTGGTGGAAAGCAAGCAAAGTCAATATTAGCGCAATCCAAACAAAACTCTCAATCAATGTCAGCTACTAACACCATAGTTAATAAGCATGTTTAGGACTACAGCTTACAAAGAACTTGATGTACAAGACAGAACAACATTCCTGACTTCACAAACCAGGAATAGTCAATGTGTTGGGATACTCCAGGTATTGCTGGACTTCAGCTTCAATAATTACAATTCAGCATAGCCAAAAGAGAAGCTTTTGGAGTCATTTCTCCCCCCCCCCCCAAAAAAGGTAATTGAGGTGAAGGTGGAGCAGAGAGAGAAAGAAACACATGTTATGTATAGCATGGAGAAAGTAAATAGAACATTTTCTGCCTCTTTCATAATATTAGGATCTTAGGATCACCAGATGAAATTGGATTGGAGGTTCAGAATAGACCAAATAAAAGTACTTCTTTACGTGCTGGAGATGGTCACTAGTTCAGAAAGCTATCAATAGCAATGAGCCAGGATAGCTCAACAGAATGTCCACATTCAAAGGCAGTATTCACTTATACATCAGGATACTAGGAACAGACAACTGTGGAGAGATGCTGCTGCCATTAATCCCTTGCCTGTGGGCTTCTCTGTCTTCGTTGAAAATAAGATACTGGACTAAATTTGGGTCTAGCAGGGTTCTCCTGAAGCTTTCCCTGAAACTGAGGAGCAGCTTCGCCAGCCGATTTCCTGCGTCTCCTACATGTGATAGAGACATAAGAGGCGAGTCTGATGAATGCGATCGCTCTGAGAAGAAAGTCACACGCGCGTGTTTCCTGCGGGACAAGACCTCCAGCCTTTCAACCAAGGGACTAATCTTACCTCAGAATTTGAAGATTTCTTCCTCAGCGCTTTTGAGTCACGTTGCCGCCTATGGAGGCCGCCATCGCCGCGCTCAAGCTTCCGGATAGGATGCTTACGTCATGAGCAGCGCGCCGCCCCTGCCGTCAACAACGGCGCGTTGTGTTCTACTCACGATCCCCGTCCTAGAGATAGGAAGAAAATAACACCAACTAAACTTCGGGTTCCTATCGGAAAGGGGCACAAACATAACCCAGCGCAAGAGAGCCGCCTGGCGGTGCTCACATTTCTGTCCTATTCAGCTCATATAATCTCAACATCATTGTAATTCATCCTGAAATCGGAATTTTATCAGGCCTTCCTTTTCCCGCCCTTAGGGGCGCGGGTGGAGCTGCGGTCTAAACCACAGAGCCTTGGGCTTGCCACCTTCCTTATCTCTATGTCGGGAAAGCGGAGGGAGGAGCTTTTTGTGGTGACGTAGAACACCGGTCTCCTCCTCCTCTTCCCCCTGAACTTAAAGCGTACTCCGCGAGGCAGCTTGACTTTTTTCCTTCCGGTTTTAAGCGGAAGTGACGATATGGGCCGCAACAGCACAACAATAACAGCGCCGCGGTGGAAGATGTCAGTGAGGAACGACGGGAGAATAGGAAGGTAAAAGGGCGGAGAAGGGGAGCGGGTAGACGGGGAGTTGTGCAGACTGGAGCGCCAGTCTTGGGCTAGAGGGACCTGGGTTCAAATCCCCGCTTAGCCATCTGCACCAGCATCCCGTCTCCCCCCATGGCCGAGCGAGACTGAAGCGCCCTGCAGCTGCTCTGCAGGAGTAAAAGCGCCTCTCTCATACTGCACGTAGGCCACCCCCTGCATCGTAGTAACTGTAGCCATGGATTTATTGAATCCCTCATTCGAAAGCACTTGAAACTGATGGCCCCGCCTTGAAGCAGCAAATTCCATAAGTAAGCTCTGTGCTGTCTGAGGAAGCACGAATATAAAAAGCTGCCTTTTGCCGTGTCCGATTCCATTCGTGTTGGCAGCCTCTCTCCACAGTCCCGTGCAGGGATCTTCTTCAGCACCAGCTACTAGATCTTTTTTAACGAGTTGCCAGGGATTGGATACAAAGCGTGCGCTCTGCCAAACTCACTCACGCATTTGTTTCGGTTTTCTGTCCAAAGGCTAGGAGCATCCATAATCATTCCATTAAAATCACTGAATTATGCACAATAATGTTGAAGAAGCTTTAACAGTGGTTGGTGGTGAACTCCCAGTTTGGGGACCTAATCAAGCCCTCCCCTTCCCCACACAGCAAGTTTTCCTGGCCCTGCAAGACCCCACCAGTTTGGTAGCAATGGTAAAAAGAAATCAAGTATGCGTAGCACTGGGGGTGCAAATTGCCCCCTACCCAGTCATCAAAAATTGAAGGCAATGTGATTTAAAGTTTTATATGCAGTACAAAAAAAATGTTTATATCAACATTTGTGTGGCTGTTTGGGGATTTTCTTATGCACAGAAGGTAGTTCTATGATAGAGGTAAGTAGATCTGCATCTGCTGCTAGATCTGTAGGTCAGCATGGATCTCTGATTCATAGTTGTTTAACAGTAGCAGCAACAAGATGACTCGCCACCACTTAAATATATATTACTAAAATTAAGAGCACTTTTGTTCTGAAGGGTTGTGAACTCACTTTTGTTCTGCTACTCAGAACAAATTGCTAGACTCTGAATTATTTAATTCTAAGAGTAAGTTTTTTGCACCAAGTTCTGGTGCAAAATCTTGGGATTTTGGACCATCCCAAAATAAATAATCACATCTGTTCAGAATGATGGACTTTACTGCATTTTCATTATATGTTTGTGGCATTATAGTCAATAGCATATTACTGTTTTATGTTCAATTGCAGATGGTCGTAACCCTTGGCTGTTGAGATTTTATTTTAATTTTTTCAAGAAAACTGAAATAAAAGCCATAAGAAAACACATCGTATAACTGAGATTTGAATGATGGAATCATCTACAAATCTAGATGTTGGAACCCAGTTAATTGTGGAAGACTGTTCTGGCAGCTATAGCCTGTCTCACATGCCAGATATTAAAGTGGAGCCTCACCTCGATTCCAGTGTTGAAGAAGGACCAGCTCAGAGTGTTGCCATGGGAATGAAATTCATTTTGCCCAATAGGTTTGATATGAATGTGTGTTCTCGGTTTGTCAAATCATTGAATGAAGAAGACAGCAAAAACATTCAGGATCAAGTGAACTCTGACCTTGAAGTGGCATCTGTATTATTTAAAGGTTGTGATTTAAAACTTATCTTTAGCTTTAACTATTACTGTTGGATAGATGGATAAACAGGAAAATGCTATATTGGCAAAAGAATGCATACACACATATGAATACTAACATCTTTCTTGTTCAGCAGGCATCATCTGCCTTTAACTGCCTGCTGAGAACATTTCTATGCCACCAGGCTTATGACAGCAATTAATAAGAATACATTTTCCCATAATGATTAGTTGATGGCCTCTGATTTTATGTTGTTGTTATTATATATAAATATTATTGTACACCACTTTGATTTTCTATGATATAGTGGTATAAAAATCCTTTTATAAATAAAGTAAATTTGAAGAAGCTATTTTGAACACTTTTTTCTTGCTTTCTTCATGTAGCTGAGTGCAATATCCATACTTCTCCTTCTCCTGGAATTCAAGTAAGACATGTCTACACCCCATCAACTACGAAGCACTTTTCTCCCATAAAGCAGTCAACCACATTAACTAACAAGCACAGGGGAAATGAAGTTTCTACAACCCCTTTGCTTGTAAACTGTAAGTGATTCTTCGTGGAATGGTAAATTTAAGTTTTCATTTTGGGATCCTCCATTGGGATTACTACAAGAAACTGGTATTTGCATTCACTTTAAACCATTCACCCAGTCATTTATTTATTTCTAAATTGATTAGGGGTAAGATCTCTTTAACTGAAAGCGGTGACTTTGTCATTCTGGGTTGCCAAGCTTTCTTTCAAAATAGAAAAGGGCTAGGCATGATAGTATACTGGAATAGAAAGGCAAAAGGCACCACACATAATGTCTTTGATATTCTGTTGCCTAAGGAACGTCAAGAAATTGTAAACCAATTCATCATTTGTACATTGAGCAAACCTACATTATTTTTCATGCTAGTCATGTTGGGGGAAAAGACATGTAAGCCTTATCCTCACCCAATGAAAATTTTATTCATGTACACTTCTGAAATTCCAAGTAAGGCGTTGCTCATATACTTTCAAGACTTCTTATTGTAGCCATAGGGGCTGTGTCTATCTCATTGAAAGCTGAAATTCTCAGCAAGCTGCTTTTTCTAATCCCAGTCCCACATTCTTGCCTCCTTTGGGATCAGGGTCTACACACAACCCTTCTTATTGGATGGTTGTGAAGGTAAATTAATTGTAAAGTAACTTTCTGCGCCAGAAATAGTAGCAGGCTGCATGGTTGTGTCAGCTATGTGATCATCCTCTCTGTGTTATTTTTCTCTTAACAACATGCAGTCAGTATTGTAGTCCTAAATCATGGCAGTATTTCACCACAGAAGTTGATATTTTTCTGCTGTTTTTGCAGCTCTTTCCGTTCACCAGCTGGCAGCTCAAGGGGAAATGCTGTATTTAGCTACACGCATAGAGCAAGGTGAGAATTTATTTTGGTCTTTTTTTCTGGCAAAAAATGATCAGCTGCTAGGTTGGGGTGGGTCCTGCAACTGGCCCTATTCGCATTTGTGCTTTATTTCATACATTTCTGTTCTGTGGAAATGGCTCTGAAATGTTTTTTGCCTCATAGATCATGATGTCAAAACTTATATATCAGCACTGCAGAAAATTATATATATAGAAAGGTTTTTTTGTTTTCTAGTCACTCTTCTTTAAAAAAAGAAACATAGTGCAAACCTATTTTTTTAGTGCTGTGATGCTCTGGTTATAACTCCTATCCAAGCTATCCTGTGATATTTGTTCTTTGAATTATGCAATGTTTATTGCTCATTAGCCAAATAGGCTAATGTTGAATTATGTAACAGGGCAAGGTGCATATTTCAGATAGTAGGAGGTGTTCGCCCTGGCCCCTTATTGTAGCAAGCCTTGTCTTCATTTTTAGGGCCTATGGCATCCAGAATTTGCTTCCAAAAGTGAGTGAAGCTGACTCACTTGTTCCTTCTCACCCACCTCTGACAGTATTCACTCCATGGCATTGTTTACTTTGCATTTCCACCATAACAGGGATCCACAAATTGTGTCTTGGCTTAGTAGTCAGCTGTTACTTTTGTTTGCAACCAATTCCGCTCCCCTGCAGGACTCAAAAGATTGGGGAAGGATGTCTCTCACTTTAAACTGACCTTTGAAAAGGAGCAGAGGGCAGTATTCTTTGCTTTTCTGCATCCCTCTTTATCCCAGCATAGTGAGTTGAGACCCAATCCCCCCAAATATTCATAACTTTATTCCAGCATCACATGGAGACAACAGGAGTGAGATGGTTGATCTGTATGTTTTGTTAAATAGAAAATGTAATCAACCATACGGACGAAGAAGGCTTTACCCCTCTGATGTGGGCTGCAGCTCATGGGCAGATAGCAGTGGTAGAATTTCTGCTTCAAAATGTGAGTGAAAATATGTCCCCCCCCCAATGCATTTGTAGTGATAGTCAACAATTGTAGTGCTCTAAATCCGTCAAGAACAATGCTTGTAGCCTCTGAAAGTTGTCTGAAGACCTCTTGTGAAGCCTTACATAGATGATAACAATGCTACGCTATCGTTTCAATCCCAGGTTGTAATTTTCTGTCTAGATCTGGTCAACACCATGTTTTAGCCATGTTACAAAAGATTCAGAGGAGAAACACTAATGCATGATTTATGCACAAAGTCTGAAGAAAAATCAGGTCTGAGGGCTATTTTTTATTTTTATCTAGCCACTGAGAATGATACCCATTTCTTCCACTTACAATTCCTGGCTGAACATCTGTTGCTAACTGTTCTACCTCTACAAATCCTAGGTTCTGATAGCCCATGAGCAGGGGCGTAGGAAGGGGGGTGCGGGGGTGCATACCTCACCGCGACGCCCCCCCCCCCCCCGCGCCCGCGCCACTCCGGGTGCCGGAGCAGCTAGCTACGCCCCTGCCCATGGGCACTGTAACAGTCTTTCTTTCCAAAGGGCATGAATGAACAAGTCCATAAGCAATGGAACTGTTTACCAGGTACAAAGAAAAGAAGCAGTAGTTTGAGCTGCAACAAATCATGCTTAGGCTGTACATAAGGAAAAAAGAAGTGTAGACAGCTGGTTAGTTGTACAAATTGTCCATGGAACTTTTGGAATCTCCTCTTCCCCATATAAAGAATTAAATGGCTGGGCTGAGTCCAGGGTGATTTCAGTACCTAGAATCTGGACAGTATATAATTGGACACATGGGGTTCCATCCATCAGGATTTTTATTAGTCTAACCCATAACACATTTTAAACCACTGCTCTTTCTGACAGGGTGCAGACCCACAGATCCTTGGAAAAGGGCGAGAGAGTGCACTATCACTGGCCTGCAGTAAAGGATACACAGACATTGTCAAGATGTTGCTTGACTGCGGAGTTGATGTAAATGAATATGACTGGGTAAGCCCCTTACTGGAGCTACTATCCACATTACAAACTTTTGGGTAGTAAAAGGAGCCAAAATATATGGACCCCTGTTCATATACAGCTTGCTTGGGTCACTGAACTGTGCAAATGAATTCTGATATTATTATTTCTTTTCATTTCTTTTTCAGAATGGTGGTACACCTTTGCTCTATGCTGTGCATGGGAACCATATAAAATGTGTCAAAATACTCTTAGGTAAGTATTATGAAGGCAGTTATTAGCCAGTAAGGACTGTAAGAACAGCAGGATGTTAGCAAATCAATTATTTGTTTCCTGTTGTTTTAACTAGAGCACGGTGCTGATCCTACTATAGAGACAGACTCCGGATATAATTCCATGGATCTGGCTGTAGCCCTGGGCCATCGTAGCGGTGAGTATTCAAGCACTTTAGAATTTACTTTAAGGGTTGGTGCTCTTTTTTTGTATCAGCCGCTTTACCTGTTGGTGGTTCACAAAATGCACAGGCTTTTACTGTTGCTTCTGGAGAGGCCTTCTTTATCACCATTTACAGCAGTGGTAGTTTATGCAGATATGGGGGAAGACAGCCTAGTGCTGTGCATGCATTGCACTCCCTTCCCCCACTCCTTGATCATCTCACTGTTATCCTTTATGCTGTAGATTGATAGCTGCTTCTTTTGCTACCTAGAACTTGGTGGGGGCAGGATAGGACTAACAAATGAGCTTGCCCCTATTTATGTATGAAGAGGCCAAGTTCCAGTTCTTGGCCATGCCAGAGCAGCAACAGGGAACCAGAAGGGCCAGACTGAAATGTGGCCAACGTTCTGCAGGCCACATTCCAATGGAAATTTTTGCCTTTCGTTAATGTGCTGCTTTAGGCAGTGATCAGATATACCAATAGTGAATGGGGCCAAAAGCATTTTACATATTCATACACACATAAACACACACACACACACACACACACACACACACGGATTACTATTCTGGATTACTACAAACTCTATGCAATTTCCACTTTTTCAGCTCTCCTATTTACATCTCCAAAATAGGATAGATCACCACTTAAGAGCTGAACACTAATCATATTTTTCCCCCCGATTCAGTTCAACAGGTTATTGAGTCACACTTATTAACGCTCCTTCAAAACATCAAAGAATAATGACTTTTTCTTCATGAGACAAGACTTCGTATGTGAAGAAAAACTGGGTTTTAGGACGGATCAACATGAAAAAGACTTGATTTTTGAAAAATCAGTACCGTGGTCCCACCATTGTTGGAGGACGGCAGGTGGGGGAGACTCGCATTACTTTAGGCAGTCCTAGTTTGCCACCCAAACCAGGGATTTTGGCAGTATCTGTTGGCCTGCACGTTTTAAGCAGTTATTGGTTGTGCAGATGGAAAAGTTAGCAGCACCAAAGCTGCAGTGTTGAGCATGGCCTGCCACCAGCAAGCCTTTCCTTGCAGCAGTGCTGCTTTATCATACCAGGAAAAGACAGTGTACAAAATCACATGACGGGGACTGTTGTGTAAGAAACTTCCTCAGCTACATTTTTGGGCAAGAGAGTGCTTGACGTTTGGATTCATGAAAACTTTCTGAGGCTTTGCTCAGGCAACACTTCTCTCATTGGTAAGATTTTAACATGATTCATGTATTTCGCTGACGTTTGTCAAACCACATCGATCCTACTTGCACATATTTCATGCAATATTGAATATTCTGTTTGACAAAGGAATTGGAGAGAATTTAACATCGTATAAAATAACATACCTCCTTATTCTTCATAATCTATTAGAAGTCTACTTGGAGCACTACATTAGTGCATATGCTACTGAAATGAGTCAGCTGGTGCCAGGGAATGCAGCATATGTATTAAAATTTGCAGTTAAGAACTGGCTAGGTACTCTTAGGTGAGGGTAGAAAGGCTTTCTCCCTGATTGTACTCTACAATCAGCTTGTATATCAGCCCACAGATGTAACTGTGTTACGTTATATGTATACGTTACTTGTTTGCTGGTGAATGGCAGAGAGTCGAGAGAGTTTCATCCCATTTGTATCCTGCTTCCTTTCTGTGCTGTCTCATGCTTAAATACAAGGCTGCTCTACCTCTGTATTTCTGACTTTGCCACCCAATTCATCTGAATTAGCTAGTTTACTTGGAGCCGAAAGTTGTTCTGTAAGTAGTGAAGTTCTTTCAAGGTTATACTTCAGAATATAAGTGAGTAAATTTCCTGTTTGGATGTTTTGTTTTGTTTTTATTTTATTTAAAAAATAAATATCTGCCAACAGTGAGAAATGTTTTTCAGTACTTTTCTCCAATATACTGGATTTCTATGAACCAATATTTCTTTGACATGAGAGGTTTGAATCATGTCCCTTTAATTCTGAAATGGTTAGATTCCATGAAACACCTGTGTTTTCTGAGCATATAGGGCAGATCTTAAAACTATGAGTGGAGAATGTAGTCTGGTACTTTCACACAAACAAGATAAACCTTTTAACGGCCTTTCTGAAAGGCTGAGAACCACAAACTTCGACATGATCCTCTGCTACAGGTCAAGACTTATACCCAAAATGTAGACAAGTAAATGGTACTTGTCTTGCATTATGACTTTGTCATACCCAAAGAGCCAAGACGTTCAAATGGTCAATACTGTGAACTTGTGATTACTGAGACTTTTGCACAGATTACCATGAAATGCTGTATAAATGTAAATAAACCCTTCCCCTTTCACACAGTGTACCTAAAAGCTGTCTGAAACAGCAATGGGACTATCTTCCGCTCCTATGCTTGCCTAAATAAGGTTGAAATGTGTAAGAGTGAACTGTAAATGTATTTAAATGAAAGTTAGGTAGTACAATGTGCTCAAAGCCTAAGAGCTAGAATAATAATTAAAACAAATATTTATTTCCAAGTAAAAGTGTTTCAGACTTAGTATAAGGCAGATTGTGAACAGGGCATCCTTTTGTGGTTACAACCGATGAAAACGAGCTTGCTACCATGTTTGCCATATCTCTATCGCATATTACACAGAACCATTATTCTTCAGTTAAAGAACAAAAAAAAACCTGTAGAAGTAACAATGTTTTATTATAAAGTTAAAAGCATTTAGCATCTGTTTAAAATGCATGTTTCCAGTAATGAAAATAAACATTTTTCTCTGAGGGGTAATTGTGCAATACTGAACATGCAATACGTTCCCTGTTCTCTAGAATCTGATTAGCCAAAGCAGACTATTTAAATTCCTCCATTCCCGCCCCCATGGACCTATGCAAGTGTACCCCTCTATAAATGATGTCTTTGATGCACTATGTATTAGGATGTGTCTGCCAAGTTTTTGCTCAAGCTGCTCAGCTAAACTATTGTTTTGATCTTGTAAAGTTGTGTTGTAGGTGTTATTACCTATTTTGAGAGTTGCAAGTTCTTCATATAGTGCAAATAAACTGTTTTTAAATGAAATTGTTTACCTTGATTTCTTCTTGAGCATGCTAAATGAGAAACGCACACCGTTTTTCCTCTGTAACTGTCAATGGTTGCATTTTATGCAACATTAGGCTGGGGGGTGTCCCATGCCTGTTTTATATAGCTTAAAGGTCAGATGAGACCACCCCAGGGGTCATAATTTGGCCTATATGGCCATTTCCCACCCATCATATCCTCCTGCCTCTACATCTGACTTAAACTGTGGGGCAGGTAAAGCTGCAACTGCAAAAGAGCAACCGGGAACCCCTTAAGAGTTTACTCTGAATTGTTCCTTTGCAAGCAGGGCTTTCATTCAGTGCATTTCGCATTTGGTGGCAAATGCAAGCCCTGCCATAACTGGCTGTTCTTGGGAGCTCTCAGTCAGTACTGAATTTATTTTTAAGGAAGAAATATGAGTGCACTTAAACATGCACATCTGATTCCTTTGAAACTGAACTACCCACTGGGTTCTTCATTTATTCCAGTAGGAAACAAATCCTGGGGCAGTTTAGGCTTATGTCTGAATAATCAGTGCTCATGCTGTTTTTCCCCAACCAGCCATGATGCAGAGGTCAGAATAAACCATAGCTTCAACTCATGGCTTGTTTGGAGGGAAATAAAACTACAAGCACTGCTTTGGCTGCAACAGCTTGTTTCTCTCCTGGAGCAAGGAGAATGGGTTTGAGAAGAACTAGACAGCAGCAAACAGCTCAGGCAGACTAATTAACCACTTAATATTGGGCATAACCATGGCCAATATCAGCAGGGTAGGTTTTATAGAATATTAACTGGCAGTTATACCATTTTCACCTTTCCATTGACATTTTAATGTGCTCTTGCTTGTTGAAGGTAATTGACATGTACTGCTATTCCATGGGATATTCTTCATGTGTTCATCCTTTTGGTATATGCAAGTCATTCAATTTGTTCCTATAAGTGGCATGACTTATTTAAGACAATTATAGCTAGGCTTGTTCCTGTCTCCTTTACAGTGGTGCCTCGCAAGACGAAAAGAATCCGTTCTGTGAGTCTCTTCGTCTAGCGGTTTTTTCGTCTTGCGAAGCAAGCCCATTGACGGATTAGCGGATTAGCGCTATTAGCGGCTTTTAGCGGCTTATCAGCTTATCGGATAAGCAGATAAGCGGCTTAACGGCTTAGAAAAAGGGGGGGGGAAACCACAGGAACTCGCAAGACATTTTCGTCTTGCGAAGCAAGCCCATAGGAGCTTCATTTTGCGACGCACCTCCAAAACAGAAAACTCTTTCGTCTAGCGAGTTTTCCGTCTTGCGAGGCATTCGTCTTGCGGGGCACCACTGTATATAGATAAGATCATAGGCTGGTATCTAATGGTGCAAGTCCATTGAGAGAACAGGGTTGAGAAGCAATTTTGACAAATCCTCCATATCACTATGTATTATTATTAATTGAATTTATATACCACCCTATACCCGGAGCTCTCGGGGTCTAGAGATCTGGGCCTAGATCTATTGCCAAAGTTAGGAGATCCACTGATGCAGATTTAGGGATCTGGAGAAAATTGACACCCCCCCCCCAAAAAAAAGCTCCCTTACCTATTATATACAATTGGATACCACCTTTTGTGTAAATTGCTTTCAAGTGAAAGGAGCTGAATAAACAACAAAATGTCCGTACTCCATCTGATAAAGGGGGTTTTAGCATCAGGGTGTTGTTTTTTGTCCAAGTGCCACAGCCTGGCTAACTAAACCACAGTAACTCATTTGTTCTGCTGAAAAAAATTAAGATCAATTTCTAAGGTACAGGAACCTAACTTGCATGGCACACAGGTGCTCACTAGTAGCTCCTACTGTATGTATTTGCAGTTCAGACACAAGAGAAAAGTTATTATTAAATTTTTTTTTCTATAAGGAGCAGTGAGTATTCTCCAGAGGCTCACAAAACCAGATTCCAGTTCCTTGCAGAAAAAGCACAATGAATCTAACTCCATTTCTGTTTTAACAAGCCACTGCTGCAAGAAGAGCAGTCACTTTACAGCAGGGCAAGCTACCCTGTGGTCCTCCAGATGGTGCTGGAGCAAGACTGCCATCATCCCCAAGCACTGGCTACACTGGCCAAGGCTGATGAAAACGAGTCCAACAGCATCAGAGGCCAAAGATTAGCCACCCTTCATTTCCAGCTACTACCTTGTTGATAACATTTAACTCAAACTTGACACTCAGGTGCTGCCTTTGCGGTTTAAACAAGGGGAGGAGGAGCTGGAAGAGGCAATTGTTCATATAATTTGACACTGGGAGTTACATTTGTATTAAATTGCAAATAAAGTTTACTATTTATTTCCACACTCGAAGCAATGCGGCTCCCACTAACAGAATTAACAATATGTTGCCTATTTTTTAAAGTGACACAATTAAGTTTCCTAAGATTACACAATTGTTCTCTGCATGTGTGTACTGTAGAAGTCAACCTCCTGAACAAATTATTTTGTTGTGGCACAGAGCTTCTTGTGCACTCTGAACATTATGGTTGCTTCTGATAAGGACAGATTATAGCGGTTAGATAGGGAACTCTTGTCATATGAATAAGAGAGTTCCTAAAGTAAATCAGAAAGGTAGGGTCCTGTGTCAATTAGCTATTCTAAGCCAGTCTTCATGCCTGTAACTAATGGAATACTATCTGCCAGCCTATTGTCAGAACTATTAATGCTTTTACCTTTGACAATCTGGTTATGTTTCTGCCAGTGACCTGTATTTGATCTAGGCTAGATTTGGACCAGTCTCCTTTATTTGCCTTCTTCTGACATTAAACATACTTCACTTTTGAGCTCTGCTTGTACTACATATGCTGGCATATGTATCCATCACTGAAAATTATACAAAGCAAAACAGGAATGGGGATAGAAGAACTTGGAATATTATGGTTATTCAGTAAATTAGTAACACTTTCTGATTAGGTTTAAGCCAAGATGTTCAATTTCACATCAGAACTTTCAATAAATACAATCTTATCTATGTACAAAATACTACTAAAAGTATATGCCTAAACATTTAGTCTTTATTAGCATTTTTATGTAGTACTTTTCAATTTTGTGTATTTTCAACCCAGCCATGAATAATTAAATGCTCCGTGCACTAGCAATAACTGAAGAGAGCTGCAATTTGAAGGAGTTTCCAATTAGAGATCTTAGACTTCTTAAGATCAGTACAAAAATGTTACAAATAAAAAGTCACAATATAAAATAGCAGCTCCATGTAATGTTCAAGTTTTACTCAAAGTGACAGTTCAGTTTGCTTCGTTCTTTGATGCCTCATCAAAGTTCTCCACAAGATCTGAAAAGGAGAGTTAACAACAGTCAGGCTTTTAACATGCAAAGAATCAGCACTGCCATTTCCAAGTCTTTCATCCTAAAATCCAGAGTTTGCTGAATTATAAACAAGTTATCTACCACAGAACATTAAGCATTAAAGCCCACTGGACAAGTACCCAACTATACCCATCTGTAACCTTCCAGTTTTCTGCAATCCAGCAAGTAGAAGTGAAACTTAAGCTCTATTCAGGAGTTTTAAATTTATCAGATGATGAGGGAGAGCTAAGATGAGGATCCTAGCTCTGCCCCTACCCAGTCACCCTCCATTAGCCATAGGAATCAGTTCTGTAGTAAGTATCCTTTCTATGCATGTAGACTCCCTGTGCGATTTAAACCTGATTTTTCCAGGTCTCTAAAATCACATAGGGAGCCTACATACTTCAGATGTTATACCTCAACTCATGTGGGCCAACAGGAACAGCAAGAATGAGACAGATCTAGCACACTCATCCTCACTCCTCTCTATGCATGAGGGAACAGTGGTTTTTATATTTAGCCAAAATGTACTCTGACAGGTAAACCACCACCATGTTCTCGCCATCCTCCTCCTCCTCAACCTGACAGATATCAGGTCTAAAAGACAAAGTAGGTTCTTGGGATCTGCTTGTGAACAGCCGGCACCTGGAAAGTCATTGCCCCATAGACAGGCCTATTTCAGTTTTTCTATTGTATCTCACTGTCATCAGATATCCCAGGAACAAACATAATGACTAGAAGTCAAATGTGTCCTGTGTGAGTGAAAAGGCCCTTCCACTCATACAATTTTAGCAATTTCCCCCTTCTTACTACAGCCCCTATGCACCATCCAGTAGTTCCAACCCTCTGATTTTCTGACACTGCAAAGAGAATGAGAAAATAAGGAAACCCCATTCCATGACCAGAACTCTGCTCTCCTCTTGAAATGCAGTGTGATACCAGCAACTAAAAAGTCAACTACCCAAATCCATTAAGGTAAGCACAGAAGAAAACACATCAAGACCTAGAGCACTAGATTTAAGCATAAACCAGAGAACTGACCATTCTTCCTGCACAGATGTATTTTGTTTCATTATTATTGTTACCGAAATGCCACAACACTTTCTCTTCATTACCTTGTCCATTCCTCACACTCATTACTTTTGTAAAAAAAAAAATGAATACTTGTTTTTACCTGGAACTTCATCATCATCTTCCTCACCAGTAGCAAGAGGTGCTTTTCCATCCACAGCTGTAATCACAAGCAGATTAACACAAATGAGACATTTCTAAGCCAGGCTTTCCCAAAACTAGCCAAATTTGCAGCAAAACACAGTAACTGATTACAACCCTGTGCCCACTTACTTGGGAGTAAGTCCCACTGAACTCAGCATGACTTATTTCTAATTAGCTTGGCTTCTACTAAATGTGCTTCATCCCTAAGTACCCACTCTAGAATATCGTGCTCATCAACCACTCCCTTCCATAGTCCACAGCCTTTGTTGTTTGCTAGAATACAGCCTAAGCAGAGGACCCCAAAACGATTTTTTGACAAAGCAGAAACAAGCAGTCAAACTTCAGTCATGAAGAGGTTCCTTCAAGCAAGAAAAGGCATTAAGTCCCATATCCATCCCTTTGAGAGGAGGAGCTTCTGAACTTATTCTCATATTCAGGGAAGTAACAAATCAAATGTTTTTGAAGAATAGCCATTTCAATCTAAGATTCTTTGAAGCACAGAATGAAGAGTACCCCATGCACCATTTGTTTCTAAATATAACAGCTGAAAATATATTTTACTTAAATATGACCTGTCCTAGCTACATGCACATATAGGTACTAATTAGCCAATTTAGCCAAGGTTAAGCTTCTCAGTACTTGTTCAGGTATTTCCCTATGGGACTGGCAGAAAACAGTTTTTCCCTACCCACCCATAGCAAGTGAGATTCCCTCTAATGCTAGAAAATAAAACCCTTTCAATTGAGGAGGGATCCACTCTCTCCATGGTACAATCCTCTGTGGAAGGTTATATAAAGGACAACATCTGAACAGGTTATTTATTTCACTGTGAGAACTGCATTTTCCAAAATTGGGTCTCCAGCTGGTTTTGGATGACAATTCCAATCATCCTTAACCACTGGTCCTGCTAGCCAGGGATGATGGGAGTTGTAGTCCAAAAACAGCTGAAGACCCAAATATGGGAAACACTTCTTTACACCAATAATATCCTTCTTAGTATAAATCAGGGCTATGACACTATGACCAAGCAGCTTTGATATCATGTCTTGTTTCTGAAAAGCAACTGGCTGTCCCAACCACCAGCAACAGCAGCACACACACATCAAATGAAATTAGATGGGCTGATATTTTCTGTGGCTTCTCTAAGAGAGGTCACTCCTGCGGACACCCAAAGCCAAAAAGAACATTATAAAGCAAGCAAGCAAACACTGCAAGCCCCATGTTGGTGCAATAATTTTAATTCTCAGAGTGAGTCTTCCAAGTTCTACTCACGTTGTTTGGGCAGAGCCTCTGCTAGTCTCCTCAAGCTGGTCAGACTGTCAGCACCAAGCTGGTTTAAGATGCTAGGCAGCATTTCAGTCAGCTGCTTTGTCTCAGCATGGCCTGTGATTGTGAAAGTGTTAGCTGCTAAAGATGCTTGAACTTTAGGGTTGTTGAAGTGGATGACAGTGCCCTGGTTGGTAAACATGTTCACCTGCAAAGCAACACAAATTTTTTTGAGCAAGCAAACTTTTGAAATCACAATGAACTTTAATACGAAAACTACAGTGATAATATTCTCAAATGAGTTAAAACCAGTACTTCTCAGAAAAAAGAATTTATGAAAGCACCATAAAAACAAAAAAAGTAGTTACCTCTTCAATACCAGAGATGTTATTTACTCCAAGTTTCTTTAATGAAAACTGAAGCTTCTTGTCATCTGCTGTTGCTGTTCTGTGAACCACCTTCTTCTTTCTACGGGCAGTACCCTATGAATAAGGAGACTAAATGTTAAGTCCTCTCAAAATGTACGAATTCCAAGCAGCAAAATGGCATGCAACTCTATTCCTGGCTGTAACATAATAAAAATGTGTATTTCAGAAGCTAGGTAACAATACCAAACTGGCTACTAAAGAGAAGTGAATGACCACTAACAAACTAATTTCTGTTCGCAGGAATTATGAAAGCAAGGCCTAAAATAGATATTTGTCTGGTGGCCTCTGGCAAGCAAGAATCTACCCCCAGAAAGCAGGCAGAGTAGCTTTCAAACACTCAAGAGTCACTTACTATTTTCTCAAGCAAGCAACATCCCACAAAAGAGCAGCACAAGTATATCTAGGCAGATACCTAAAAAAATATTTCTTGGATAGCAGGGAATTGTTTCTACAGATTTTGCTGCAACACCAAATTAAGATTAGAGTTTTGTTTTGTTTTTGTTTTTCATTTTTGGTCATTTACTTTAATCTGAATAATTTATCTGAGCAGATGTCTGGCTGGAGGCAGGAACACAAACATTCTCCAGAGAAAAAAAGAATTAAGCATAACCGTTGCCACACACTCTAGGTTTGTTTGTTTACTAACAACAGAATGTGTCTCATATACCACAGTCCAGAATTAGAAGATAAAGAGACAAATGTCAGCACAAGTCATCTTCAAGAACTTTTAGGAAGATTTTCAAGAAGTTACATCTGAGGTAAAGTTATGTTGCCCATAAATATTTGCCAGAACAGGTTGTCGTGTTTACTAGCTAAGCAAATACAGGTTAACTGTTAAGAATAAAATCATGGCTTTGCTATAGCTAATAAAAAAATTGGAAATTTTAATGTTAGTGCAAGCATAAGAAAATAGAAATTACTTTAAATAGAACAAAACCAACAAGATCTGTAGGTTGATGCATTTTTAAGCCTCACAATAGTAATTACTTGTACTATATTTTAAAGGCTAAGCTTGTTTTACTTCAATTACATTGACAGACACCTTAAAGTAGTTAGCATAATGAAAATTATAGGTTCCAGCAGTAAGGCACTTATGTTCAGACCTGAAATTCCACTGGCTCCACCTTGATTAAAGATAGGTTTCTGATGCAAGTTGTACATAATAAAAGCTGACAAAAGTATTAGGTAAAAAACTGGTGGCTGTATATACATTAGGTAGTTTAAATCTTTACAGCAGAATCCCAAGGATGTTTCCTCAAAAGCCAAGTCTGAGTTCACTCTCAAGCCATGTGTTTCATACTGCAGCCTTGTAAATTACAGGAAATTTTGCTGTTACACAAAATCCTACGGCAACCCTACACCATGAGTAAAAGCATTTTCATCTGCCAGCCTTTTACCAAACTTATCAACATCAATATTTGAACACAGTTACATTCTTTGTGCTCATTCAGGCATTAATAATATTGTGAAGAGTGTACATTAGAAGAACTATTATGTTTAAAGTCAGCTAACTAATAAAACATTTAAGAACTAGTTATTTTGTTATTTCTTATTACCACCCTCCCTAGGGAAAACAGCTTCTTCCATCTCTTTTTGTTATCCTTACAAGCATCCTTCGATACAGTTTAAACTAAGGGGTGGTAAGTGGCCCAGATGCACCCAGTGAGCTTCACAGCTGTGTAAAAATTTAATACATGTCTCTCTGTGTCAAGTCCTGCATGCTAACCATTACTCTACATTAATTCATCAACAGCGTTATGAGTTTGGGGTGGAGGGAAGTAGCTGAGTTCCTGTATGTGAGATCCTTCTCTAAACCCTAGATCCAGGAAGTGTTGAAATATAAACCAGGTTAGCTTCCTGTGTTGAGGCGAGTGCCTGAGTGATGTGTCATTAAGAGAACAAAGGAAACGGGGCTTCATGTGAGACAACAAATGGGTGGGGCCCCACCGTCAACTCAGATAATTAGAAGGGAAACGCTTGAGTTGAGAGTTTGCAGAGATGTGACCTACAGGAAAAAGCAGCTAGTTAGAGAGAGAGTCGGAGAGCAATGTCTGATGACTGTTTTAACTCCAAGGTGCAGCTATGGGAGAAACAGGACTCCTTTGGGTCGCTGATGCTGTTAACCTCTTCATCATAGGGTCAGTCTCTATACATGTGTAAAAAAACCATATATCATAAAGATGCCACAGTCTCCGCTATGTGCCCCAGTTCCAAAAGGAAACACAGACCTTCAGTAAGTGCCTGGAACCCCTGAAATCTCTCTAAGATTGGGGTGGGATGCAACAATATATTACATATGCCTAAGTTCGGGTATAACCTCCTCTTCCCCTCCAAACAACAACAAAATCCTAATTGTCTTTTTCAAAATACGGGCTACAGAAAAACTGTAAAAACATAAATGCAGCGTTGCTAGATAATAATAATAATAATAATAATGTCCTGTACAAGTACTGTAAAATGCAGCACGCGAAAGGAAACACGAATTTTGGAGAGGCAGCGAAGATGAAGCGAGGCCACCTTACCTTCCCACCGATGCGCACTTGAGCTTGCAGCTTAGCTAGTTTTTCTTGATTCATGATAGTTTCTTTCATCTAAGGGAAGAAGAAGAGACGTGAGGCGATTAGACGGGCGACACCCAAGGAAAGAGTTTGGAGAGGGCGGAGAGGGCCCGATGAGCCCGGTTCTCGTGGCGGGCGGCGCCCCCGAAGCCTCCTCACCCTCTCGGGCCCAGGCGAGGGAAGAGAGGCCTCGCCTCACCCTCGGCCGGGCTCCGGCCGTGAGGAACCTTCTGAGGTGAGGCAGGCAGCCTGCGCCACCGCGAGGAACGGCCTTCAAGCCAGAGCAGCCGCTAGGCCGAAAGGGGACCCAAGACACCCCCCGGAAGCCTGGAGAGAGACGGGCGCACGCAGAACCCAGGGCCCGCGGCTTCTTCCCGGCTCAAAGGCCTCAGAGGGCTCCTACCAGGCGCACCTGCGGCCGCTGCTCCCCCCTTCGCCGCCTCCAGGCCTGCCTATCTCCCTTCCCCCACCTCCCTCGGGTGCCTCTTCCTTTGTACCTTCTCAGAAGGAAGCGGCCCGACCTGGGCAGGGCGAGGAGCTGAAGGGCTGCGGCCGGGAAAGCGCGGAGCCTGACGCGCGCACGCGGAAAAGGAACGAAGATGGCCGCCGGAAAGGAAAACAGGAGGCGGTGGCGGCGCCGTCGTGACGAAAGCAAGACGTCCTTACGCGCTCGCGCACGAACAACCCCAGCGTTCGATGCGCATCCTCCGGAGTCTGAGCTTTAGCGCGCGTGCGCGAGCGTAGTTGGCGCGCTCCGCTCCCTCCTGCAGGCAGGGCGGTGTGGCGCGTGGCTCCCGGGTGCCAGAAGGAAGCGAAGGCGTGGGAAGCGAAGGTCCTGGTCGGCTCAGCTTGGCCGTGGATTGCCGCGCCTCGCAGCAAAACAACGACTGGTCGTGGCATATCGTGGTGTTAACAGATTGGATCAAAGAGCTTCTATGAATGGTTACAATTGTGCGGGGAGGGGAAGCAATGGCTAAAATCTTTGGATTTGAAAGACAGTTAAATTTACCTTTTCAGAGATTCCTTGACGATACCTGATGGGTGCTTATTTTTATATGTTTCATTGCAAATATTGTGTGTGTGTGTGTTTTAAATTCTGTTTTCCCTCTGATTATCTGCAGCGGGGCATGATTGAGTTGTTCTTGGTTGGTTGGTTTTTATTATGTATTTTGTGATTTTATCCTGTGATTTTATCCTGTGAACCGCCCTGAGACCTGTGGGTATAGGGTGGCATATAAATTTAATAAATAAACAAATTACTACTACTATTAGGAAAACCAGGGAAACTGGTCACCTAGCCTACCTATTTATTGTGAAGGCCATCTAGTTCTTATTGAGAGGTTTCTGTGTTAATAGAGCACAATTGAAGTATTTACATAATTAACTGTCTACTTTTCTGTTTTATATATCTATACAGTTTAATGTCTTTACTACAGCAGGGTTCAGAATGCTCCAGAATTAATACATTTGTATTAATCCAGGAAGCACAAGGCATTTGCACAGGCATTTTTTTCAGCCAGAACTCACTGGATCTCAGTTACAGCACCTCTCAGGTGGGCACCATTGCCCATTATAAGAGTACAAGGGTTCCGGCAGCCCCTCTTTTTCTTGAAAAATAGGCCTGGCACATAGCTGTCAACTTACAGATTTGAAAATAAGGGACCAGCAGCCTCGAAAATAAGGGCTCAGTAGCCAAAATAAGGGATTTTAGTCAACCAGCGGAAATATGAAGTTAAAAGGGACCAGATAATTTTGGAGAGCAGCGCCGGATTTTAGCCCTTCGTTTCCAGAGGTTGCTGCTCAAGACACCAGCTGATGAAACACTGCAGTTAAATAACTACAAGCAGCAACCACTTTTCACGCAAAACGAAGTCCAAGCTACGAAGATGCTGCTGCAGTTCTGTATCTTTTCTCTCGTGCTCCATCTGCAGCTCTCAGCTCTATCAGGCAGGACGGGAGGAAGGGGGGCGGGAAATAGCGCCTGAAGTAAACCCGCAGAGCAGACCAGCTATGCTAGTCTACCACTACAAATCTATGGGAGAAGCGCTTGCGGTCCTTCCTCCACTTTCCCCCTCTATGGTTAGCCCTTGGAACACCTGCCCGCACCTCCTCCTCTCTCTGAACTGTTTTCTCTATGGTTGCCTTCTCTTTCCTCTCAAGGCTCCTCAGCAATTCCTAGGCCACACCACGCTGCCCATCTCATCCGGGTCCTTTGGCGGTGCAGCCGCAATACGGCCTAGCGGGAGCGACGGTGACGGGCAGAGGGGAGGCCCCAGGCAGAGAAGCTCAGTTCGGCGGCCGCGAGGAGGATGGCGGCGGGAGGGCCCAAGGCTCCTGCCACTCCTGGTGGGGAGGGGCTCCTGGGGGCCAAGGCTGGTGAGAGGAGGCCAGAGGGGGGCGGGCCGGGCAGCCAAGCAACACAGTTGGAGCCTCCCTCCTCCCTGGCCGGCAGGGAGGGAGGGAGAGGAGCTGCTTCCTTTGAAACCCGGGAAATTTAAGGGACATCATCAATAAGGGACAGCAGCGGGACATGGCGCTGGGATAAGGGAGTTTCCCACCAAATAAGGGACGGTTGACAGCTATGGCCTGGCATTGCACATGGTTCCTGCCCTGCCCATTTAACCCTCACAATAATCCTGTGTGGGTGGGTTAGGCTGAGAGAGAATGACTGGTCCCATATTGCTCACTCAGCTTCATAGCCTAGTGGGGATTTGAACCTGAGTCCTGTGGCATTGGAGGTGCCTTGGATAGTTGTAATGTCTTTGGTGTCTCATATATCACCACCTTGAGTTAGAATTCCATCCCTGTGGTAGACTGATTCACACCACACAGACCTAAGTTGCAATAAATGAAAGTGATTGTTGGCATCATCATCAAGAGCTTTAATCAAAGCAATTGTCAGAACTCTTAGAGCTAAAGGTAAAATCAAAGTTCAGGCCATATGCACACTTTTTAAATATTTCCCTATGGAAAAAGAGCTCCATGCAAGAAAAAAATAGGCACAGCAATAAGCAAGCTGAACCTTCTTCCCTGATACTCACTTTTTTCCTTGCAGGGAGAGTTGGGAAGGCAGTAACACCTGGCACCCCAGCATTACATCCAGAAGTTGTGCAGTCTACTAGATCATATTAGGATCTGCCACCCCTTTCTTGTGCATGCTGATGACAGCTCTCGAGGGTACAGGAATGTGGCTGTTACAAACTCACAAACAAAAACATTAGCCAGAATCACCAGATGCAAAAAGTACAGTACTAATGAGATGCAATCCAACACTGGTACAACAGTTCTTAGTTCCTATTTGAGTTTCTGTTTTCCTTATATAAACATAAGATGCAAGTAACAATATCTACCAAGTGTTTCTGAAATGCTTATTTGCAAGCTAATTTCTGTGGAAAATAAATAGTACTTTCAGTGAAATGCACTCAGACTTGGAATGACTTCCAGACACAAGCGTCAAACATGAATCATCTATGTATTAATGTTCCATACAGATAATCAAATGCACCTTTGGTTACCAGATGTTGATGGCAAACAAGGGAGTGCATATCTCCATCCTATTCCTCTTTTGGGTTTCCTAGGAGTAGCTGAACAGCATTGCTGGAACTTTGACCCTAATCCTACAAAGCAATTAAAACTACTTGGACTATCTTTATCTTATGACCTGAAAACTTTGTTTTCTTTTACTTACTATGAGCATCTTCCCACACTGTGAGTAAAACTTCGTAGGACCATCAGGGCCTGCATAAAATGGCCTCACAACATAATTCTATGCATGTCTATTCAGGAGTAGATCCATGGGGTGGGGTGCATTAAGTGCTTGAAATTCTACATGTTTTTGTAACTTGATTGTGTGTCAGTTTGTACATGTGTTCATGGTTGGGGTTGGCTGTGGTTGGGGGTTCCCAGGAAACTTAATAGGGAAGCAAGATCGGCTGGGCCTCCTCCATCCTATGTTCAGGTTGTATATATGTGTAAATAAAACCATTTATCCTTAAGACACCACAGTCTCTATTGACCTTCTGTTCAAGGAAACCAAACCCTGGAACCCTTGGAGTCTCTTGCTGGTAGGAGATTAGAGTGTGGACAGCAATAAAAGGTAAAGGTAAAGGACCCCTGAGGGATGCGGGTGGCGCTGTGGGCTAAACCACAGAGCCTAGGACTTTCCAATCAGATGGTCGGCAGTTCGAATCCCCGCCACGGGGTGAGCTCCCGTTGCTCGGTCCCTGCTCCTGCCAACCTAGCAGTTGGAAAGCACGTCAAAGTGCAAGTAGATAAATAGGTAAACGGTGTTTCCATGCGCTGCTCTGGTTCGCCAGAAGCGGCTTAGTCATGCTGGCCACATGACCCGGAAGCTGTACGCCGGCTCCCTCAGCCAATAAAGCGAGATGAGCGCCGCAACCCCAGAGTCGGTCACGACTAGACCTAGTGGTCAGGGGTCTCTTTACCTTTAAAGGACCCCTGACAGTTAAGTCCATTCAGTTAAGTCCGAACAACTATGGGGTTGCTGTGCTCATCTCGCTTTGCTGGCTGAGGAAGCCGGCGTTTGTCTGCAGACAGTTTTTCTGGGTCATGTGGCCAGCATGACTAAGCCGCTTCTGGCGAAACCAGAGCAGCACACGGAAACGCCGTTTAACTTCCCGCCGAAGCAGTACCTATTTATCTGCTTGCACTTTGACGTGCTTTCAAACAGCTAGGTTGGCAGGAGCTGGGACCGAACAATGAGAGCTCACTCCATCGCGTGGATTCGAACTGCTGACCTTCCAATTGGCAAGCCCTAGGCTCAGTGGTTTAGACCACAGCGCCACCCATGTCCCGTGGACAGCAATACTTTATGCAAAAAGAATGGAGTCAGCATACTATGAAGGACAGGTTGGATATTTATGGGACTACTACACTCTCATGGCAAACCTAACATACTCCAGAAGAAAAACAGGGTTGGAACACATTTAATGAAGTATTGCGGAAGCAGTAAACCCCAATACTCTATACTGTTTTTCGTCAGTTTGTATCATTTTTATATGCAGTAGGTTAGAAATTAGAGAAATTAAGTTAACTTTTCTGCTTCGATAACTCCTGTGAAATAATTGCTTGTAAACTTTGTGAAAACTGGAATGTCCTACTTTGTTTCTGCATCTCTATTAATAAGAAAATATGTAGCTCACATACTTAAAGATGAAGGAATAGGAAGCAAGTCAAAAGCAAGAAGAGACAAGGACTCTGTTGTCCAAATGTTTCATCTGAAGGAGCGTCTCCACCCCCATCGTTCTACCCGGACACTGAGGTCCAGCACCGAGGGCCTTCTGGCGGTTCTCTCCCTGCGAGAAGCCAAGTTACAGGGAACCAGGCAGAGGGCCTTCTCGGTAGTGGCGCCTTCCCTGTGGAACACCCTCCCACCAGATGTCAAAGAGAACAACAACTACCAGGCTTTTAGAAGACATCTGAAGGCAGCCCTGTTTCGGGAAGCTTTTAATGTTTGATGTATTATAGTATTTTAATATTCTTTTGGAAGCCGCCCAGAGTGGCCGGGGAAGCCCAGCCAGATGGGCGGGGTATAAATAATAAATTATTATTATTATTATTATTATTATTATTATTATTATCACCATGTTGCAGGAGGAGTTTTCATGCATTCTTCCTCCAGTGACTTCTCCCCCTCCCAAAAAAGCCCCACATATTTTATCCTCACAACAACCTTGTAAGGTGGGGGGGGCTAGCCAGGTTTTTTGCCCTGGGTGAAGCCTCCAGAGGTTCCACCTGCGCAAGGGAGGGTGCCAAACTGAGTCTTTGACCCGTGTGAAATAAAGCCTCGTTTCGCCCCTGGTTTACGCATGAATATAGTGTTTGGCTGAGGGCAGAATTGACCATCTCCTATTCCAACGCTGTAAACACCACGCCACTCTGACTCCAATATGCTTGGCAAACCCTCGGGTTACACTCCCGGACTAACTCCCATCGTGCGTCTGGATAGGCTGACAGAAGCAAAAGGGTTTTCAACAGGCGTCTAAAGCAATCTGCCGTGCGGACGCCTGATGGCAATGCTTTTTAATGTCTGACTTGCATCTGTCCTAGGAGAGACCGGTCAAGTTCCAAGCAGCAGCCTGTCGCTCCCTGCGGGCCCGTGGCCTCTAGATGGCGCTCTTCACCTGCTAGGTCGGACCTCCGGAAAAAATAAGGGAAAAAGAGATTTGCTGCGCGAGGAGGGAAGGCGGGTAATTGCACAAGACAACCACTAGAGGGAGGATGCATGATCGCTTGCAAGGTACCGTCTGAAGCAAGCAAAGATTTAGCCCAAAGGCCATGAAGGCGCTGCTCCCTTCCTTGCGCTGGGAGTTTCTGGAGAAGCTGGCAGTGCCCTCCATTGGGCACCGGGGCTTTTCCCGTCTCCAGCCGTATTTAAGAGCTCGAGAGCTTCGCTAAAGAAATACGACCTGGGGTGAGATCAGGCTTGACCTAAAAGTAAGATCTCCAGCAGGCAGCTTTCCAAAGGAAATGGGCTGAATTTCTGTGTCTGATTGACTGAGGGCCTTTGGTGGGTTTCACCTAATCACTCAATATTTTAAACTTGGCTCTTCTTCTTTGGTGTTCAGGCGATCCTAAGCACGCTTACTTGGAGGGATGTTTTGCTGAAATTGGTGAGGTTCGTGTCCAGTTAAATGCTTTCAGGTTGAGGCTACTATGATGGGACTTACGCCTGCCTGGCTCTCTTAGACATCTTCCACTTCCAGATGAACCTTTTCAAGTCTCAGCGATGTGAAAGAGAATAAGTTCAGGCTTCACTCTCAGGCGGCAAAGCTGAGACCCTCTTGCTTGCTTGGGTGTAAGCCCTATTGAGTGCAATACGACTTACTACCAAGCAAATATGCACCCGCTTCCATCCCAATTTAGATACATTCTTCAGCTGCATTTAAAGACTTTGGTATAGTCTCCTTCTGCAATTACTTAGCACCCCATAATATCAGACATTTCCAACTTAATGCTTCTAAGTCTGCCTCTCGCAGGTCACCTAATTCCAGCCTAAATACTCAAACATTCGGAAAAGTGAAATCATCATCATCATCACTGTAGAAGACTTTTCAACTTGGTAGATTTCTTTTTAAAAAGCTGTATAAGAGGGAAATAAACGTCTTGCTTATTCATCATCCTAAATAGCTATAAATAGCTCGTTTCTCCATGCCCGCCTCCTTGTGAGAGTAGGTGTTTTATTCTAAAATATTAGGTGATAAAACTAGTTGGCAAACAAGCCTGAGTAGAAAGACCTGATGTTAAAGCCCAGCTCGGTTAAGATATGTGGGGCTTTCGCTCCCGACTTTCGTGACATCTGTTAATTCTTAACTGTATTTTGACAGCCTGAGTTCTGGCTGATCTTAAGACCAGGCTACAGGCGTAATTTGCAGTGAAATCAGTGGGACATGAACGTCCCATGTTTCTAGGCCCATTACTTTGGGGAGGGGGGAATCCCAACCACTTAGATGGCTCCAAATTATGGTGTTGTAAACCGCCTGGAACACTTTTACGAAAGAGCGGGACTTCTGTCTTTTCACTCATTTGCTAAATAGTGCCTCTTCTTTCTACAGAAAGTACCGTAGTTAGGCTTCCCGGTACGAGGGCAGCATTTCACTCCAGGAACCTTTGGTCATACGATAAGGGGCGGTAGGAATATGTGGGAAAGTTTCCTATCATTATATTTTATTCAGGAGAAACTATATGCGAAACTATCCACACACACCCCAAAAAAATATGGCAAATGATTGTGCTGCGCGGGTAGTATTATATTCAGTGTATTGTAAATAATGCTCTGATTTAAAATAAACGTGTTACATATGTTAGTTGTTTTTGGAGAAAACCTGAATAATCCCGTGTGACCATTATATATACCGTATACACACACACACACACACACACACACACCTCGTGTGATAAATTATTCATTAAATCCCCCAAACAAACCATATTTTAAATCACCCTTAATGGACCGTGCAGCATTAAGAACAGTGAAGCAGCTATAATTTCTGAAGCACCTCTGGTCGGAAGTAAAAGTTGCAAGGAAATAAATAAGATTTTCCGAGAGGTTTGTTCTAGGTCCTGAACTTTAGGATGCCGGTGACGATCAGGTTGCTTCACCGGGCAGGAAAAGTTCGCGGAAACAAATGAAGCCGGCTCATCTTGCCTTCCCTCAAAGGGTTGACAATATCAGGCGCTCTCTGCTCTCCCAAACCTGTTCTGGCGGACTGCCTTTAATTCCATTGGAATTTCTGAGGGAATTCATTTAGGATCAGAGTGTCGATCTCTTATTTTGAAATCCTTCTATTGCGTTGTTTTGCTTTCACTTTGGTGTAAAATAGTGTGTGTGTGTGTGTGTGTGTGTTTGTAAACCAAATACTTTCATGTGCTTCACATAAATAGGATCTTATTCATCTCCCACATTCTCCGTTTAATTTTCTTTTCTTCAATTTGGAACATTTCTAGCTTCGAATCCCCGTCATCTGTTTGTGCGGGGAAATAATTTGTTATTCTTTAAGAGCGGTTTCTTTCGGAAAAACAAGCCCTCGGGAAGTTCTCCCGCGCACGCCCCCGCCTTGAAATGAATGGGAAGCGTTGCTTGCGCAGGAGAAGTCCCCGCCGGATCGTGTCCTTCGGCTGCCTATGCGGAGGACCTGCTTGGAAAAGTTCTTGACGAATTTCACTGGAACTATTTGCACACGGTCACTTAAGGGGACTGGGAGCAACCTTTCAAATGGATGCTGTGGTCCCCCCAGGAATCAGTTCCGCGGCGATTTGTTGCAGGACTTCAAACCTTTTTCCCCTGGTGTGTTTGCGTGCGCCTTCCTCCCTTTCCTCGACAGCAAGCGTGTAGCTGCAGCCCTTGAAGCGAGGAGGCTTGGCTCGCACCAGCGCACCGGAGACGCAGACGACAGTCCCCGGTTCCCCGGCGTAAACTCAGCTCGGCAGGAGGAGGACAGGCTTCTGACAAACGCGGCACTCCGTCCAGCTTCCCACGACCAGGAAACCCGCTTGTCCAGTCCAGGGGTGGGACGACGAGCACCTCCGCGGGGCCGCCTCCTGCCTGCCTCCTCCTCGCCAGCTGCGTTACGCAGGGCGAGCCTGGAGACCTCTCTCACCTCGCTCAGATCGAGCGTTTTCTCTTTCTCTGGGGGGAAGGTCGTATAGTGTCGGTGGGGTCCTGACGTTCCAAAGGCGGATATTATTATTATTATACCTCGCCCATCTGGCTGAGTCTCCTCAGCCACTCTGGGCGGCTTCCAATCAAGTGTTAAAAACAATACAGCATCAAATATTAAAAACTTCCCTAAAGAGGGCTGCCTTCAGAGGTCTTCTAAAAGTCTGATAGTTGTTCCTCTCTTTGAAATCTGGTGGTAGGGCGTTCCACAGGGCGGGGGGCCACTACCGAGAAGGCCCTCTGCCTGGTTCCCTGTAACCTCACTTCTCCCAATGAGGGAACCGCCAGAAGGCCCTCGGCGCTGGATCTCAGTGTCCGGGCTGAACGATGGGGGTGGAGACGCTCCTTCAGGTATACAGGACCTGTATATTAGACACCCCCCTTTCCAAACCAGAAAGGTCCGTCGAGGTGGAGCTGGGTGGTGAAACAGGGGATCAAGGCTGACTGGGAAGCAGTAGCCCGCTGGAGATGGAAGGGCTGCCTCTCCCGGCTCCCTCCACCACCCTAACAATGGGGCTATTCAAGGCGCGAGATGGGCGCTTATTTATTTATTTGCTCTCCTCTCCCGCTCGCAATTCCGAGTCTCTCTCCCCCCCCCCACGCCTCTTTTCTTTTTTTATTCCTGGAATGTTTTCTCAGCGGCGGCTCTGACGTTTCCAACCACGTGACGGCCCCCTCCTGGGCGGGCGGGCAGGAGGAAAGGCCGCCCCCTTTCGGCCTCAGCCCGGGCGCTGCCAAGATCTTGCTCAAGACTCCGCGGGCGCCGCCCGCTCCTCCTCCTCTTCCCCCCACCCCGTCCCCGCCCGCCTCGCCCGCCGCTCTCCCTCCCCAATAGTAGTCGCTCTCCCTTTCCCACCCTGGCCCCATTCATGTCTGAGGGAGGCGGCGGCGGCGGCGGCGGCAGCAGCAGCAGCAGCCAGCGAGCGCCTTCTCCTCAGGAGGACGACGAGGAAGAGGGAAGCGCCGAGGAGGTGCCCAGCTGGAGAGGCTGGTCGCCGCCGGCCTCGCTCGCGCCGCTGTCTTCTCCGGCCGTGGCGTGAAGGCGGGAGCGCGGGCGGGCGGGCGGGCGGGCCGGCGGGGGGCGAAGCGTGTGAGCCCAGCCGGGGCGCCCTCCCCTCGCCCTCGCCGCCCCGCCAGCCTTGTGCCAGGCAGCCCCCTCCTCCCATGCCCGGCTGCGCCCCGCGATGACTCTGAGCGCGGAGATGTCCGAGGCCGCGTCCGCCTTGGCTGAGGAGACAGACATCGACGTGGTGGGCGAGGGGGACGACGACGACGACGAGGGAGACGACGAGGACGACGAGGACGACGACGACGAGCCCCTCCGCCGCCGGCCTTACGAGGAGGACGAGGACGAGGAGGCCGCCTCGCTGCCTGAGGCGCCCGGGGCGCGCGGGCCGGGAGGAGAGTCCCCCGGCTCCGGCTCGCCTTCCTCCTCGTCGTCGTCGTCGTCTTCCTCCTCCTCCTCTTCTTCTTCCCCTCAGGGCTCTTTCCGAGGCGCCTCAGGGGGCGCCGGCGTCTCGGCGGGCGCCAAGAACAGCCTGGTGAAGCCGCCTTACTCGTACATCGCCCTCATCACCATGGCCATCCTGCAGAGCGCCAAGAAGCGCCTGACGCTGAGCGAGATCTGCGAGTTTATCAGCGCCCGCTTCCCCTACTACCGCGAGAAGTTCCCCGCGTGGCAGAACTCCATCCGACACAACCTGTCGCTCAACGACTGCTTCGTCAAGATCCCGCGCGAGCCGGGCAACCCGGGCAAGGGCAACTACTGGACGCTGGACCCGGAGTCGGCCGACATGTTCGACAACGGCTCCTTCCTGCGCCGCAGGAAGCGCTTCAAGAGGCAGCCGCTGCTGCAGCCGCCCGACCTGCTCCTCAGGGGGCTCGAGCCCGCCGCCGCCGCCGCAGCCGCCTTCCTCCAAGCGGCGCAGCAACACCCCAACCAGGCGCCTCCGCCGCCGCCGCCACCGCGGCAGCAGCAGCACCCGCCGCCCGCGCCGCCGCCTGCCCCCTTCGCTTACGGGCCCTATAGCTGCGCCTACGGCCTGCAGCTGCCGCCTTACCCGCCTCCCTCGGCTCTCTTCGCCTTCCAGCCCCAGGCGCGGCCGCCGCCGCCGCCTCCGGCCGCCGGGCCCGTCCTGCCGGCCGCGCCGCCCGCGCTGCTGCCTCCCGCTGCCGCGTCTCCTGCGGCCGAGCTGGCCAGGACTACCAGCTTCGGCTACCCGGCGCAGCTCAGCCCGTCTCTCGCGGCCTCCTTGCAGGCGGCGGCCGCCAAGAGCAGCTCGGCGCTGGCCAGGTCGCCTTTCTCCATCGAGAGCATCATCGGCGGCGCCGGCGGCGGCGGGGGCTTGAGTCCCCTGGCCGCCAGCAGCTGCGCCTCGCAGGCGGCCGTTCTGCCGGTCCTGGCCAGGTCCCTGATGGCCTCGTCGCCTGCGCTCGCCTCGCCGCCGCCGCCGCCTCCGTCCTCTTCCGTCGCCGCCTCGCTGGGGACTCTGCACCAAGGGGCAGCCTTGGCCAACGTCGAGAACTTTACTGCTAGGATTTCCAATTGTTAAAAACAAAACACACAAAACTGTCTTGCCGAAGGTAGGACCCAGTGGGGCTGTTTTTGCTGTTTTTTTCCCGGCTAAAGAAGGCAAAGAAACTTTTCTATTTTTTATTTAGGCCATATTTTGTTTGTTTGTTTTGTCTTTCGGCCCACCTGGCTCGGTCCTCTTCAGTACCTCCTATTTATGCAAAGCCATTTCGATATGCTGCATAGGCAGAAAGATTAAATGGCAAAGAAGTAGCCCTTAATTCTTTCCTTTAACAGACACGCGCATTCTAAATAAATCATTCCAAGGCAGAGATTGCCGGGTCCAAGGATTAAATTAAATTACAGCTAAACTACAACAATCCCCCCCCCAAAAAATAACGATGAATAGGAGTAAGGGGGGACGACAAAAAGAAGCATTACCCATCTTCTTTCATTGTAGTTCACTTGTCTTATGTACTTTTATATATGAAAAAAAAATTAACATGTTTACACAGAAGAAAGTCGAGATTATCAATTCTTATTTTAACCTGTGTTTGTTTTTTGTATCATAATAGGCTTGTAGAGTTTTTCTTTTCTTTTATACTTTGTGCATATTCTTTACCAGGAATATTGTTAAAATTACTGCCGAGTATTATTGTACCATTCTAATTGTAAAACAAAAACAACAAAAAACCACTTTTTTTTTACACATTTTTGAAAATAAAGCAATAAATTTTCAACAAAATTAATTCCACAATTGGCTTTAGACCTTCACCTATTTAGTGCTTTGCCCTATGAACTTCTAACCTATAATTATGATCCTGGGAATAGGATTTTTTTAAAAAAAAATTAAATCCAGGGTAGATTAATAATCTGTGGTTGAAAAGAAAGAGTGCAAAATGTTGTTCCACCAAATAATTAACTCAGAAGAATCCTCCACAGTCTAGCAATGCTGGAGGGCTCCCCTTTTACTTAAAAAAGAACCCCACCCCTTCATTTAATGTTGGACCCCATGTTGGCATCAATGGGACTGGTACCCTAAACATGCGGGTTTAGTAGGAAGAAAGTTTTCCTTTGCTTTCAGTTGGGCTTCTAAATAGGTACTCAGGATCGCGGCCATCTTGAAAATTCTCTCTGGGGAAGTTCAGCTGGAATTAAGGGGACTTGCTTTCTAGTCAAACATGACGCCAACCAGCTTAAATTCTGGACCGTATTAAACTTCCCTCACTCATGGAACCTGGTTTAGGAACTGCTATGGTATTCCAAACAGTGTTAATACGATTTTCAAGCCTTCACAAATAAATTTTAAAAATACCTGGGTAAACCCGAGCAATGACTAACCAAAGAAAACAAAGTAACTGTTTTGGTGATGGATAATTTCAGCCTTCTGCAGGCTATAATCTTCTATAAATACACCTTTTTTGTATTTGAATCAAATAAATGTAGATTCTTTTAAGAACTTCTAAAGTGTATTTTACATTGCAACCGCATCACAATTGCGATGGGTTTCCTCCAGCTCCAAGGTTATACAATAGATAATTGGGGGGGGGGGTATTGTTTGTGGTTTTTAGGTTTTTATGACGGTGTCGCAAATAAGTGCCCACCTTGCAAGGTAATCACACTAGAACTGCAATCACCGCGCTATGTGGGCATCATTAAAGTATTGCATTAAAGAGAAAAGAAGTTATGCTACAGTTTAGGGTGACAATAAGTATCGCACATTTTGCTTTTAAATATTTGAAAGAATGGTAGACAAGTATGAGGCGGTTTGTCACTTGTGAGAATGCTGAACAATTAAAACGTTATATATATAAATCAGTGTTCATAATGATCGGTTTCAAAACTCTGGTTCTACATTTTAGTTCCATTGAAAATAAGAATAGCCCCCCGCAAGTATTTTTTGGGTTCTGACACTACTTTTCCCAAACCTGGAGAGGACTACTTTATTGAGGTGAAGGGAATACTCCCCTTTAAGGATTTTGCGAATGCATATATTAGTATTATTATTTTACAAGATTGTAAGACAGGATTAGCCTCCTAGGAGCGCAGAGTTGGAATTATTATTTTGAATTAATGCAGTAATTGTCGAAATCCAACTTTTTAAAAAATGTGCTAAAAGTCGGTGAGATTTTGAGGCATGTTCAAGATCAGCATATAGTGCTCCTTTCAGGAAAGCAAATAAACAACAGTCTCCAACTAATTTCCTTGCAGAACAAAAACTTGGGAAAGTATTGCACATCATTATAGGTGATTTATGAAGTCGTTTTAAGAATGTTTACGGTCTATGTTTATTTCTTTTTTAAGTGCACAAATAGGTGGTGCGATTTAAGTTCTTTTTCTCATCGTGAGGTTTATTGTAACCAATGGAGAATATCAAAGGGCACTTGGGCAAGGCGTGTGCTAGGAGAAATCCATTACCAATCCTGTGCATGTCTACTTTGAAGTAAATCCCGCTGAACCCACTGAGACGTACTCCCAGCTAGGTAAGGTCGCAGGGCCTGGAATCTTGCAGCAGCCACAGATTTTCAACGAAGCTTTCCATATCATCTCTGTAAAAACGTGGTGGCATACCGGAAGTGGCAGGTGCTCAGCCGGCGAAAACAGGAAGCGGACCCTTCTGCCTGCCCTTAGCTCGTTCGCCTGGAAGTGAAATTGCACAGACTTCAACGAGGCTGACTTCCACCGCCCTCCTGAAGGAGCTGTCCGCAAAACTCCAGATCTGGGTGCCTCATTTGTAACGACTCACCGGGAGGATTCAGAGTTAGAAGGTGATAGTGATATTTCTGAAAATTCAATACGTACCTCGCTCCGGCACACGTTGACTTGGAAGTAAAAACATCCCGTCCTCTCCCTTGACACTTGCTTCTAAATAAGTTTCCGGTCTTAAGATGCTTCCCTGCAAGGATGTCCCCAACTGAAATCAATGCGATTCTCCCCCGCCAAGTCATGGGTAACTCATGTTTAGGATGCTCTATTGAAAAGCCTCGGCACCCCTTTCTTTGGGTAAATATTATTATTTCCTAAAGAGCCAGAGTACCGTAATAATCTGATTCCACACACATACACACAAACCTGAAAAAAGGCTTCCACAAGCCAGTTCGTTATCTTGTGATTTTATATTTATTTATATTTCTTTTTTGTTTACCAACAACAGGAACAGCAAAACAGTGAGGCCAGAGCCATAGCTACGGGGGACTAGCCACTGAGGCGCCCAACCTCTGTGTGTGTGTGTGTGTGTGTGTGTGTGTACGCAAATGCACGTGGGGGGTTGTGCCAAACTGGGTCTTTGACCCGGGTAAAATAAAGCCTAGTTTGCCCCTGGTGAGGCGGAGGAGGCAGGAAAACGCTCCTGGGTTCAGGGCGTGAGACTTCACAGTGATGCTCGGGATGTGCGTGCCTGGCGTTTCCCCCTGGGGTTCCTTAAGAGGCAAATCGTGTTCCAAGGTTTGTGGCGAGGGAGCTCTCTCTCTCTTCCCCCCCCCCCCATTCGCTCGCTTGCATTTCTGATATCAGCAATTGGCTGTGCAATCTGGACAGCGGCCTCCACCTGACAAGCAGCTCGGAGTTGGAAATATTGCTTTGCAACCGCTAGTACGGGGGAAACGAGGGCAGGCGAGTGTTTAGTCTGGTTCCAAACTGGCCGACGCAACATCGTCGTGTTTGTTATGTCTGGGCTTTCTCCGGGGGGGCTCGGCTTCTCAGCACCGTTCTCTTTTGCCTTGCTTACTGGCTGGCGGCCCTGGGTGGGTAGTTTAGCCAGCAAGAAGGGCCTAGCTAGGCTGTAGCTGCTGCTGGCTGGCTGGCTGGCTGGCTCTGTTTGCCCAAGCAGGTGCTGCTGCAACAAAGGCCGAGCAGCCTTTGATGGGACTCCGAGCAACCTCGTTTGAACAGGGGCTCCCCACTGGCATGCAAATGGACCCCGGGGTCCCCTTTCGCTTTGAAGGCGCAGCGAAAGAGATCAAGCCGGGTGGAGAGGCTTGGGCCCTAAAAAGCAAGCTGGTGGGACGGTGTCAAAGCGCCCTCGCAGCCCACCTTCCTCCTCCTCTTTTCTCCCCGAAGTACAAAGTGCGGATTCATTCACCCGCCTTCCTCTCGCCGCCCACCGGCCCTTCATCAGATCCCCCGCGGGCCGGAGAGAAGGCGAATTACTGGGGCTGAATTGGGAGGGAATGGCTGGTCTAAGGGAAAGGCTAATGTTTCCATTCCCCACCCCCCACAAAGACCACACAAAAAGCCACGACTTCGTTTACGGTGCCATTATGTAGCGTTTTAATCTGGGGATGGACTTTACCAAATGTTATCTATTGGGAGCGTAATGAAGCCCTTCTGTAGGCAGGCAAGCATTTTACGAATGCCACACACGGCGCCTCTGAACCAGCGAGGCTTCTCTCCACTTGTATGGATGCGGGGGGGGGGGGTGTTTTCTAAATAGTTCTGTGATTTATTCATGTTCGATTAGGCTGCTGTTTCTCCCTCGACGCCCCCAAATATTGTTCATAGTTTGCTTTTAAAAACGCAATTCTCCCCAACGTGCCGGGCTCTTCTTCCCTTTTGTTACATCCATGGTTCTCTATAAAAAAAGGTCCGCGTTATTCGCCAGCTGAGCTCCCACAGAAACGGGGTTTACGGCGAGCGAGAAACATTAGGTGGAATGGCGGGGGTTGGGAAGAGAGAAGGGAATGGCTAAAGGTGCCTGGGATGTGTGCAGTTTTGGCTGCCATCAAAGTCACACTTCTTTTGGAAGGCTTTGCCCAACTGTGGATTCGGGAGGTCTTCTTGTTTTGGAAGGAAGGTTCCTCAAAAATCCCTAGAGTTGATGTCCATTCCAGGTGCTTAGCACCGAGGACGGGTAAATTCCTACGTTTCTGGTTAACTTAAATCGGGTGGTTCTGATTTTCCCTATCAATATGTGTATTCGCTTAACCGAGCAGGTGATTTTTCGACAAACTATTGGGCCATAACGGTCTTTCTTATGAATATGGCATAAACAGATAGGCTTGTCTTTTCTTTCCGACCCCACGCCCGCGAGTCCTTAGTGCTTAATAAATTTGCCGCTTCTCCTGAGGATCTAGGTGCCTTCTGGACGAGGAAACGGCCTGCACCTTCTAGCTTCTCAGTTATCTCCTTCATCCACGTCGGAGGGGAGCCTTCCGCCTGTGGATCCGGATCTCGCTCGGACTCGGCGAGGTCGCCGTCTTGGGACGAAAAGAAAACTGCGTCGCGGAACTAGGAGATCTCCTTCCTTCCACCGCCGCGACCTGAGGATCGCCTAGGAAAGCCCGCCCAGCTGCTTCAGCCCCCGCCGGTGAGAGAGAGAGAAGAGGCCCCGTTTCCGCTTCCCAGCCTTTAACACCTTCCTGCGTCAGTCCCCGTGAGTATTCCTGTCGCCTTCACTGAAAGGCGTTATCACTATTTAACGGGGTAGGGTGGGTGTAAAACGCGATCAGGGCCACCATCTGTTCCTTCCAGTTTGGATTTATGTCCCCATAACTCAATCCCACTTTACCTAGCTTAGTTTGACTGCCGACTCTCTCGTTTGGAGACGCGTATTTATGATATGGCTAAGCGGCGGCGAGCGAACCTATAAATAACCCGCGTAGGCTTGACTTTTTACAGTATTTCTTCGCAGGCAGGTGGGTTTCAGTTTGTTCTCCCTGCCTTGTTTGAGTCTGCCGGCCTCAGACTAAAACTCCACCATTTCCTAAATACACACCCTTGCGATTTTTATTTTTTTTAAAAAAAGTATTAAGCCGTCAGAACACAGACTTTCTTTGGTGTGTAAAACGCTAGGATCTCAAAAGCACCGTGCAGCAGCGAGTGTCGCTGTGCAGATTTACTCGGAAGTAAGGCCCGCTGGAAACTCGCTTTTTTTCTAGTAAGCGTGCGGTGGGGCTCCACGTTGGCGCTTTCGCGAGAGGCTTGACCTGCAGAAAATTGACACCCCCCCCCCACTCTCTGGGAACAGCCAGCTGCTTTTAAACCTCCCCTCACTTTGACTTTGAGCGGAGGAGGGAGGCACTCACAGGAGCAGAGATTGTCAAGGTCCGGGGCGCTTTTCATCCTGGCAGCCTAGATAGAATCCAGCTGCGCATGAGCGAAGGTGAGTGGTTAGAGCCTCTCCTTGCTGATGCGCGACTGTAGAGACGAATCAGGCTTAGCTCCTTCCTGCCCCCTGACTTTGAACACGAGTCTCCTGGATTTTAGTGGCATCTTCCCACTCCCATGCCGGGCCCGTGAGAAAGGAAGAGGAAACGCGTCACATCTGTCTGAACGTCTCTTCTCTTTGTTTTATTCTCAATGAAACAAGGCCTGATAGCTATTAATGTTGGATCTGCGCCGCTACAATAAACAAGAGCCAGATGCAGAGCGATAAGTGTAAAGATCGGCGTGTAGCGGATGGGGAATCAGTTGATGAGACTAAGAGAAAGGCATGCAAACCGCACACTTGCAAATGGTTTATTTATATGGCTTTCAGTTGCAATCGTGTCGTGGTTCACAGCCATCGGCTTATGCGCCTCGCACAGATGCTCCTGCAGCTCTTCTTGTGGGTCTGTAGTGTTTCCTCTGGGATTTTTCCCTGCTGGAGCTCTGCGAGCCCCTGAAACAACTCCCCCCGCCCCGCTTCTCCAGAGGAAATTCACCAGATGCACTAAGAAAGCTGCGCCTCGTGTTTATTCCTGGCTCCTGGTAAGGGACTTCTAAAACAAAGACAGAGGCTCTCGAAAGAATGGGAATTGCAGGAGAGGACGATGAGTGTCCAGCGGGCATTTTGATGGGCGGGTGAAAGTGGAAATCCAAAGCCAGAGGCTGCTTTCAGAAAAGACAAAAACCCGCCTGCAGAAACAGGCTGCTGCTCCTGCGTGCGGATGAGCCGCGGCTCGCACGCAAGCGCCTCTGACGTCGAAAACTGTCCACATGCGCCCTGGCCTCAGCCGAGAACCGGCCGGGCCTTGCACCTATCACGGGTCTTAACTTACTGGGCTTGCCTTGGGACTTTGAGCCAGGCAGGCCTTTGCCCTGCCTTCTGTGACACAGACCTCATTGCCGCCATAATAATAATAATAATAATAATAATAATAATAATAATACCACCTTTCTGCAAAAATTAAAACACAATGCAGAAACCGTTCCAAGCAACTTACAATACAATAAGGTGGTTTCCTAAAAATATGCATCTCCAAAGCCAGGGTAAAGACTGCATAGGGGGCCATACATTTAAAGCACCCCCGCAAGAATCCTGGGAACTGTGGTTTGTTAAGGGTTCTGGGAATCGAAGCTCAGTAAATCGTAGCTCCCACGATTCTTGGACGGGGGTGAACTTTATAGTATGTGTGCAGTCGAGTGAGCAGAAGGACGGGGCAAGAGCGGGCTGCCATCGCTCTTCCCGTCGCACCGTTTGGGAAGTTAGGCAGAAACCAGCGAGCTTTATTTCCAAGTCTTGTGGCTCCGAAGAGATTCCAGTTTGCAGGCATTTCTAGCAAACAAACCATATGTCCAGTGGAAATACATTTCGAGTGCGGTGCCAGGCCCTTTTGAAGCCGAGAGGACTCACTTTTCAATTCATGACTTCAACCTTAGGATGACATCGGGGGAAGGGGAGGGGGCTTTCCTTCTGAATGCATAGGAGCCATGTCACAAATGTAAAATCCGCAGCACTGCATGCCTCAGCTTCAGGATAGTACCCAACCTTAAACCCTTTACCTGCGAGTAAGTCCCGTTGGGAGAAGTGGAATGGTAAGGGACTGGTGTTTCCCTTACCTGTTTGGTAGGCAGGTCTGTAACCTGTCTTCAAGAGACCTCCTGCCCATTATAGGCTGTCACGATCATCCAGCATTCAGAAATATTTTGCCTGTCATTTAACCCACACTCTAACTATTATGGTTAACTGCTGATAATAGCTGACCAGCCATTAATGTGTCCTAACGTTTTTTACCAGCCTGATTATCTCCACATTTTGTTTTAGTAAATTCCATACAATAACTCTGCAATAGTTCTTCCTTTTGAACCCTAGCGCTACGGACCACCCGTGTCCCTGGGGAACTCAGAATTCTGTTATTAGGAAAAGGGACGAGCAGATTTTTATCCAACCCCCTCCCTGAATCGTTCCTAACAATCTCTCTCTCTGTCTCCCACCGCCACCACTCCCCGTTTTTAATGTTGCTTCACGTGGAGAGAGATGTCCACAAACGACCTCGAGATCCTTTCCTCCCCCTGGATAGTCCCAGCCAAATTCAAGCTCCATTTAGCGCATCGTTGAGATTTCAGCAGGGGGCAAGAGGACGTTCGGATCATGTTAGTCATATCTGAGATTTCTACATAAAGAAAAAAACAGCGCGTTTTAAGACTGTTTAAAAAATTAATGGCTTTTAATTTTAGGCCTCAGATGAGACAAAGACACAGTGCTATAAGAATTACTTATAGGTCGGAAATGGTTGAATGTTGTTTGCCTTCCGCAAAGGGGCGCCTTGCCTGTTCCCAGTCACAAATATTTCCCCTACAATGTCCTGAGGTGTACGGTTCATTATCCTTTACCTACAAGCAGTCTGAGCCTAAGCGTAATTTTAATACAGAGAGACCCCGATTCAAATTCCTGCTTAACCAATGAAGCTCATTGACAGATCTTAGGCCAGTATCTATCTCTCAGTCTGAGCGACGCAAAAAGGTTGATGTGAGCCCTTGTACTCCATGGAGGATATTGGTTTATTTATTTGTTTGTGTATTTAATATACCGCCTTTCTCCTAATATAGGATCCGGGGGTGGGGCTTGCAGCATGAATTAAAACAGACACAGCTAGAAACGTACAATCAATATGATTTTATTTTTTATTTTTCCAAAAAAATTATTGGTTTTCACAATATTATAAACAAACAAACACACACACACACACACACACACACACAAGACAAACCAATCAATATTATTTTAAAATAATAATAAAGCACTTTAAACACAATCATTTAGCAGCAGAAGGGAAAAAAGGTACAGCACCCTCCCCGCAGCTTGCCACAGCAGCCAGCTAGTTAGTGGCCAAAGGCCTGTCTGAGCAAAAAAGTATTTGTTGGGAAAAGGGAGAGCATAAAAGGAACCAGCCTAGCCTCCAGTGGAAGGGAGTTCCACAGTCTGAGAGAAAGGAAAATGCCCTCTCCCATAAAAAGGCCCTCTCTCGTGGCCTCATCAAGCGTGCATCCATAATGGCGGCAGGATAGAAAGAAAGGGTCCCCCAAAAGTAACAGCCGAGGAGGCCCATTGGTATTAATGGGTCCGTTGGTCATATCCACTGAGTTCAATGAGTCTACTCTGAGTAGGACACATCCCATTTATTTCAGGAGAGTTTTTTTGTTTTTACTTCTATGATGGATCGCAAATTCCTCTGGCACCAACGAGACTTTGCCCCCGCTTCCTGTGTCGCTATTCCTCCCCTGTGGTTCAATCTACTTCAGTCAGATTAGACGGGACTCTGGGGGCTGACGGTTAAGGGGCTCCTGGCGAAAAAGCTCCTGTGGCTCCAGCTGCTCCACTCGGAGCTGGGACTGGTTCTCCCGGGACAGGAGCTGTGAGGGGTTTTTTTGTGTGGGCAGGCAGAACAGATGGGAAAGAGCCTCGAGGGAAGCCCCAATGAACGGGCTGCTTAGCAGCACCTTCTGGTCTTCAGGAAAGGCAAGGGCACAACATGGCTGAGAAGAAGGAGGCGCCTCCAAGACCAGACCTCACGAGTTGCCTCCGAGGCCTTTCCAAACGCGTTTCCAAACGTTTTGGGGTCTCCGGGAGTAATCAGCCTGCCACGAGGCAGGAGTCGAAATCAAAACATCCCTCGCTTAATTCAAACTCCGTGACGGAGTTTGCTCCCATGTGAGAGATTGCCAAGGAGTGCAGTTTGAATCTGGCCCGTTCGCCAGATCGAGAGATTTATCAGATCCCCATTAAAATAGAGAAATGATTAGAGAGGAAATTATTTCTATGGGGAACTGGGCTTGGCGCTGTTCAGTCATTCCTCTGGATAAAAGTGCGTTGGAAAAACTTTCCAAGGTCTGTATATAAACTTGCCAGTAAACGTCTTCCATCGGAATGTGCGATCCGGTTCCTCTGTTTTAATAGGAGACTGGGGAGCAAATAAAGACTTTATGTGCACGTGACAAGGGTTCTTTCTTGGTAAAGTAAGTCAGACACCCTTCCACTTCCTAAGTAAGGTGTTGAAATCCAAGTAGAAGGTTTAATATTATCAGTGGATAATTAAAAGTGTCGTCTCCTTTAGGTTGGATTCCTGTTATTATTATTATTATTATTAAAATTTATATACCGCCCTTCAAAAAAAATAAAAAGATCTCAGGGCGGTTCACAAAATAAAATACAAGATGAAACACAAGTAAATAATTAAACCCAAACAAGAAAACATAAACCCCAACCAGTTGCCCGCGATCTACATATAATGTCAAGTACATTCAACATTGAACTGTATGCAGGTTGTTGTTGTTTTTTTTTAAAAGGAAGCATCCTTTGCTCTGAATCAGGGCAACTCTTTACGTGTTTGTCCAGAGGTGTCCCATTGACTTCAGCAGAACTTGACTCTCGAGTCGACGTGCATTCGATGGCAGCCTCCGACCGCTCTTAGTTGTGGCATCTAGAATCGAGGAAGCGTCAGCTCACTTCCTTCTGTTCCCCTTCTGCGTTGTGTGAATCTGGCTGATACACGGGCGCAGGGCGATCGCCGACGTTACTCCTGCTCAGAGGAGGCCCACTGAAATCAATGGACTCGAATGATACCCGATGTACGAGAAGTCAGTAAGAAATAAAGCCGGCCATCTGCCAATCTCATTTTATGGAGTGCTTCGAAGCTGCTTCCTCCCAGGTCGGTTTGTGTACCTTGCCAACTGCTTCTGTTTATATAGTCCTTGTCTTGCCTTCTGCCATGACCTGTTAGGTTTGCATTTGGGGGAAAAGAAAAGAAAGAAAAAACCTCCGACTTTTATTGTTTGGCAAACCTGCTCTGAAACGGTAACAAACCTAGCAAGGTCAGCCGGAGAAATAGACAGGAGAAGAAGTGTCATGGAAAGTCCAGCTGGTTTGATATAGGAGTGAAGTCCACTGGTTTCAGTTTCCCTACTCTGAGTATGCCTAAGGTCGGCTAGCACCCCCCACAAGGCAGAAGAGAAGAGAAAGAAAAGCCTGGGGCTTCTGTCTTTAGCAACGAAAACAGTAAGGAACAGTCCTTCACTCCAGCGTCCAGTAGGTAGGTTGATAAGCACCCTACTAAACTGAGCGGGTCTTATTTCCCAGTAACCCGGCGTAGGTTTGGGCTGTGGATCCCATTGATTTCAACGAGAGGGATTCCTTAGGGCTGAAGGGCAATATATCAGTTGCCCAAAGTAATAACCAATAAATGCATTATATATTGTCTTACCCAGTTAAGGCAAAACCATAGATCATCATCATCATCATTGAATTGAAATCAGAAATACACACTAGTTTCTCAGTTGATGTATATATTGGAGCTGGGCCGGCTTAATCTGGTGAAGCCACCAGCCAATTAAGGCGACGATCCAGTGCACATGGAATACAGGGATTTACTTCCGAGTAAACACATGCATGAGGTGAATGTTCCACTTGTGCCAACAGGTTTAACTGAAACAAAGAAGAGTCCTGTGGATCCTTAGTGTTTAAGGACTTTAAGGGCACACATTTATTATGGCATAAACTTCTCTGGAGTCTGGACTACAGTCCACTTAATCCGATGCTTGATTTGGCAGTGGGTTTAAATTTAACTGCTCTGCGTTGTTGCGGAATCACTATTATAACTCCCCACAAGTACAAGAAATTGTACTGTGCGTTTTTTTTTAAAGACATTAATATTCATACGGAGTAAGTTGTTGGAGCTTCCCAACCTTAAGCGAACTGTTTAGTAAAATACCCAACTCGCCTTAGATAGAGTTTAAAGCGCACGCTGACAATTAGCACTTTAAATCTCTAGCATCATCCAAACCAAGTAAAGCGAGCAACTGAATTATTTTTTCTGCTTTTCAAAAAAATAACTATTATTTAGGCAAAGAAGAAACATCAACATTAGGATTCGAGGTTCCTGTTGAAGTCGGAAGAACATCCCATTAGTATTGCTTCCAGACTAATCCACAACCCAAGCCTGCAAGGGCCTGGCTTAAACTCAAGGGCCTCGACTTTCCCGCTGCACGAAATGGAATTTACGTAAGTATCAGACTCCTAAATTCACCCGCAGCATCAGCATTGCACGTACGAGCCGGCCTAGATTTCTGCCTTAAGGTGGGATCCACCTCTCTTAGAGGAAGCCCCTTTAACCAATGGCAACGGAGGAACCGGGGGAAATATCGCTCGCTCTTGACCTCTGGCGGCAGAAGAACGTTCGGAGCTGGAAAGCGACTGAGCTGTCGCACCGAGGCAGCATCTCTGCTTGCCCACCTGCCTGGGCGAGTGTCTGCTAGCTAAGCATCGGTGGTATTGGTGACCCAAACCCACTGGGTGTTGTTACCTCTAGGCTGCAGCATCCGGCTTTGTTTCCTCTCCCCCCCCCCCCCGCAGCAACTGATCTCCCCCAGCAACCCCCATTAAGTCACCGGGCTGGGTTTAGCACAACGGCCTAAACTGCTTTCCTCCAGCGCCTGCTCAGCCCACCGACCCTTCCCAAAGGAGAGAAAGGATGGAAGATCTGATCCGGGCCTGGATTAAGACCTTTTGTAAACCACTTTGAGGTTTTCTGACAGTCAAGCAGGATATAAAAGTAGTGAGATGGATAATGCATTTCGGGGGGCGTAAAGACCTTTCCACAACCCAAGAACACAGAAATTAAATCCTGCGTTTAGTGGGACCTACCAACACTAGGAAACCGCGACTGAATTATCAGGGCAATCTTATACATGCCTGTTCAAAAGTAAGCCCCTTAATTCTAGATGCATTTACCCGGGAGTAAGCGCCATCGAACTCGGCTGGACTTGAATGGTATCGCGCTGTTACTCTGGAACTGGCAGAACTGGACTGAGCAGTCCGTTTTGGACCTTAGGCAGCTGTGCTGACGGCGGGTGATGGAAGCTATGGGAGTTGTGGTCCCAAACATCTGGAAGGCACCAGGCTGCCGAAAGCTGTTCTATAAAAATTACATGGATGGTGCAGAAGAGGGGCACAAACCACAGGGAAGTTCTCCTGCGAATTATCCAGTGAGATCCATTCTCTTGCGCAATGCTCTCCTGTGTCCCTTTGGTTGGTTTAATTGTCTGGTTTCTGAGACTGTTACTTGGTTGACTTGAGGAAATCACCTGCAACTGTGTAACTCAATGTGTGTTTACTCGGAAATAAATCCCATTTATGTAGAGGTCCTGCCTTAATTTTATTTCTTTATTTTAGAAACGATAAACCAAATAGTGTTTTAAACCAACAACTGTGAAACCATTCAAAAATAAATTTGAGGGTGGTATGGAGAGAAATTTTTTTAAAAAAACCCATTATACAACACAACACAAACCAGCAATATAATAAAACATTCAACAAACACCATCATCTAAAATACATTGGCAAATAAAATGGTTTTAACCTGCCACTCTAAAGAATACAGGGTTGGTGTCAGGAGTATTATTTATTTAAACAAATCTCCAAACCCATTAATATTTAAGCAGTGTACAAAAATACAGCTTAGGAACAATGGAACTGTGTAACATTCAAAATGCGGGCACCACCACAATTAAGGCCCTATTTTATTTTATCTTATTAAAAAAATACATGCCTGATGTGCTCCTCTGACCATTTCAGGGCAGGAGCTCTCAGTCTACCAAAGAACAGGGTTGCCGGAAGAGGGGAAAAGTCAGATTGCTTTAAGCCTTCAGTGATAGGGGAGACTCTACAAGAAAAATCAACATGCTAGAGTAAATTATAAAGGGTTTAAAAACAGTAAAAGAAAACAATGTTCTAACCTAAAACTCCCTTGAAACAAATCGCTCCATCCTCTTCTACACTGGCATTCATTTCAATGGGCAGAGCCGAAAAATTGTGCTCTTTGTCGAGTCGGGGTTGAAATGAAAATATATGATCCGGTTTAAAACCAAAAGAGTCTGGATTAACGTGTGTGCACGGGCTGGCTTGTTATAGTTTCCTTTATGTTCCTAGCTGGCTTCCAAAAAGTCAGCTTTTAGCACGGATAAAACTTTCAAACGGTTGTTCTTAGAATGTCTACTGGTAGACTCCATGCCTCACTTATGAATCCGTTCGTAAAAGCAGCAAGGCGGGCAGTCCATCGGAAACACATTTGCTTATGCCATTGATTCCAACTTACTTTCAGACTAACTTCACCCCAGTCGGATCCTATGCATGTTTTCTAAAACCATAAATCACAGCAGAACTTCGCTTTCCAGCGCAATCTTAACCATGTCTACTCGGAAGGAATTCCTATTGACTTCAACGGGGCTTGCTCCCAGGTAAGTGGGGTTAGCGTTGCAGACAGACTCCCTGGCCCTGAGCAGGGGGGGTTCGACTAGATTACTTCCGGGTTGTCTCTCCCGCTCTAAGATGCCAAGCTGATTTAGTGTTTGTAGTCGTGTTAGAGCACGGCACAGTGTGCTGCGAGCGTGCGTGTGTGTACATTGCGCCTGGGTAACAATCCGATTGCCTTCAGCCGGAGTGCTCTGGGGTGAGTCTTTTTACAGACTGCAGCCAAACCCAGTCTCGGCACGCATGTGCTTTACACCCAAGACAGGTATTCAGAGAGAGCAGCAGGTTCTCATATTTGGGGAGTGGGGGTCGGAGGCGGAGGAGGACGAATTCATGGCCTCAGGAACTCACACAAATCCCTGGCCAAACAAAATCTGGATCTTTGGGTTGAAAAATCGGCTTCCTTCTATGGAAACCGTTGACAGGAATCCAGAGGATTAGTCGCATTCCACTCCGGATCATTTCTCTCTCTCTCTCTCTCTTTCTCCTCCTGGCAACATTTCGAACCGATTGATCCTTCCCAAGGCCATAAACAATGTCCTGAGAAAATGATCTAACCGGGCTTTCCGTTTCTTGCCTTTCTGGCCCGCGAGTCCCCCGTGGTGTACTTTTGCCAGAAAGTTGACGAGGACTTTTGACAGGTTCCCTCCTCCTTGATTGTTTTCTAAATGCATTTTTTTTTAAAAAAAGCCTTTGCTTTGTTGTGCCAGTTAACTCTGCGGGTTCCTTAAAGGATCTTTGGTAGTCAATATATGAGGGGAACTATATTTATTTGAACAGAATAGGCAAACCTCAAACAGCAACAACAAAATCAACCCGTCAGACAGTAAACTTTCTTACACAGTAATATAAACCCTATTACACCGATAAATAACCCCAAAGGAAAAATTCCAAAGGAACAATCCCCACCACCACCAGACCGTCACCTACATACAACACCAGATCCAGCCACAGGAAGTCTCTGCAGAGTTTGGTCCATTATTCCTATCCTACTGACCTGTGCCGATTAGGGCTCCTAATTTGGGCAATCAAACCCCAACTGGGTCACCCTCAAGGGAAGGAGAACTCACTGGAAGGGTTGGCTGCATAACGCCAGACCTACACCTCCTTGGTTTTTCTTGCGCGTTTTACGCTACACGCTTTTCGCTTCCCTCGCTGCTATCTATTTCTCTTGGAGTCTTGATTACGGTTTGAGCTGCCTAACACCGGGCGCCTACAGAACAGATAGCGGGAAGGAAAGAGCGTCTCTCGCGACGCGTGGCAGATCCGCCATCCACCCCACATGTTCCCAGGCGCTCTTCGGATGAAAGGACAGACGCCGTTCATTCGCCTCGGCGCTTGGAGCTCGGCGCTCTCTTCTACAGCGGCGCAGGGAAACCCTGGAGGCTGGTGACTGGGGAAGGTTTTGGAAACCCAGACGCAGAAGAGACAGGGCCACCTTGTTCTTAGTTTAAGCTACCACAAATCGGTATATTTTTCAGTGCGACACACGCACCTACGCACACCTGGCTCCCAAATTTTAAAATCCAGTAGCTAGCCACCTGGGAAAGGGTGTAAGCTCCAGTAGCACTAACAGCAAGGAAACAGATGTCCACTCAGGCAAATAGGTGCCTTTGCAGCAGCGTGTGCTAGATATTTTTATTTGGAAGCGATTGGATCCTAAGCAACGTCAGGCCAGGTCCTTTGCACTGTCACGTGGGCGAAAGTCACGCCGAGGCCGGCGGCGTCCAGGACATAAGATGGGCTCAGTGGTCAGAGCATTGCTCTGGCATCTCCAGGCCGGGCTGGGAGCGACCTTAGTCTGAAGCCCTGCTGGAGGCTTTGAGGAACTGCTGGACTTCACGCTCTTGCAGCCTTCGGTTGGTGTCCTCTGGCATACACTGTTGTTAGGTGCACTTTGGATACAAATGAGCACCTGGAGCCTTAGATTCCACCCTAAACATCTGTGCTGATTCCCGTGTCCACGGAATACAATGGCCCCAAATATGCCTAACTCACAGCACGTTCCCAATTCCAATCTCTCGCTTTGACCACCTTTTTAATTAAACAGGAGCCTCTATTTATCTCTAAATAAAGGAATGGATCTAATAGAAATAAATAAGGAATAAGGCGCGCGCGTGTTTATGGATGCAATTAAGCTCACAATCCTGGGCTTCTCATTCGCTTGGAGTTTCCTTGGAAGTCGTTGGGACAGCGCATAGTTAGGAATGACTTCGATGACTAGGAATGGGCTGATTGGGAAGGTTTGTGGCGGCGGGGAGGGTCTTACCTAGGTTTACTTCAAAGCAGTTGCGGTTAGGGCCTGGGCATCAGTAAAGAAAACAGCGGTAACAGTCGAAGGGAAACAGAGCCCAAGTAAGTAAGTCAAGGTATTTGGATCAAAGCCAATGGAGTCCTCGCTGCGACCTATGATCCTCTTAAATCCAACCCCTTCGACTTAACGGGACTGTGGATCTTCTCTCTCCCCCTTGCTGCTGGAAAAGCAGGCGGTGCGCAGAATTATGCCTAATCTTTGAGCAATGCCTGGGAAAAGGAAGCGGGGGGTGGGGAGGAATCCTGGCCACAGAAATGGAGGGAGGAGAGCGAGTGAGAGAGCGCCTTGCGTGCGAAGAAGGTAGGAAAAGGTCGCGTGTGTCGCGGCTGGGCTGGTGCGCCGGCATTGGACGCCGGTCGCTGGGGGTTTCCCTCCGGTCGGATTGCGTAATCTCCCCGGGTGAAGGGTGGGAGGCGTGGTGGCGAAGGCAGATGGGAGAGTTGGGTGGAGGCACTGGCAGGCCAACCCCCAAGCGCCCGCAGGAGGTTTTGATGCTGTTTCTGTTTGTGCATTGGCATGTTCCCGGGCGGGGCAAGGAGGCGAAGCTTCCTCCTACAGCGCCTCGAGGTCCCCGCCTCCATCCAGGCGCGGCCTGCTGTTGCTGCACATTCGGGGTGGCATTTGGTGAGACACAAGAGGGATCCCCTCCCTCGCCAGTCTTGCCGGGAAGCAGGCAGTTCTCGCTCTGTTTTCACACCTGCTTCGCCCTCCTTCCTGGCTGATTTATAGCCCAGGCTCAGCATTCCGCAAATCACCCGCGCCGCTTCCTCCCGCCCGCAACTCCCTCTGCTAGAAACGCACCAGCCAGCGGGATGCGCAGGACCTCCCCGGCGTCTCATCTGGCAGCGCGCAGCGTTTATCAGGCCGGGTGGGCGTGACAATTCTCCCGCGCTTTGTGAGGCTATGGAAGAAGAAGCAACATTACCCCCCGAAAGGTTCAGGCGCGCGCGAGTCCAGCGGTACCCCGCGAAATATGATGAAGGAGGAGGGAATTGGAATAGTCCGACAGTTTGCAAACATTCTTAGTGCTACTTACACAGGGCTAGACAGGCAGCAACACACTTCAGTGAAGATAAAATAATAGCCCACGGAACTGTTGTAAAGATTAGTTTAAACGAATGTATAACCGAATTTTGCGAAGCATTGCCGTCAACGAACAAATAGAAGTATTCATTACTATCATTAATTATTTTTGGGGGGAGCAGAGGGCTCCTGTAATGCGGATCGGGGAGAATTTTTGTGCTATGTAGCTTATTCTTTATGTTGTTTCATATAAATACTTCTAAATTTCTCACCTTCAGCATCTTACGCCAACTGCTGAACATCAGCCTTGCTTGGAAATTAAAGCCCTTTGCATTCAATATGACTATAATGCTCGCCTAAATACCAAGGGCGGGTCATTGTAACAATTCACGCAGCACGATAAGCCAACCGGTTCAATCTAAGTTAAGTTGTTGATTCTAGATCCATGCACGTGGCACTAACCGTAGGGAAGGAATAACGCAACCAGCAGTACACGTCCCTCCTCCCAGGCGCTTACAATATACCTGTTTACACTGGATGCAGTCCCACATAATATGGTTTCTGTTCTGTGGGTATGACCCAGTTCAAACTAAGCACCTACAGGCAAAGCCAGTGTGGTGTAGTGGTTAGAGTGTTGGACTAGGACCTGGGAGAACCAGGGTTCAGATCCCCACTCGGCCACGAAGCTCACTAGGTGGCCTTGGGCCGGTCGCTGCGTCTCAGCCAGTTTAAATGGGGAAGGAAAGATCCACGTACGCCACCTAGAGCTGCTTGGAGAGAAAGGCGGAATGCAAATGCAATCAATCAATCCAATCAATCAGTGGAACAATCCTGTACACTAGTGGTGTCCAAACTTTTTTCAAAGAGGGCCAGCTTTGATGAAGTGAAGGGCCGTGAGGGCCGACCAAAGGGTCGACCAAAGTTGTTAACCTTTTTTTTTTAGGATTGAAGTTGTTGAGCTTCCGGCGGCCCGGATTAGGCCCCTGAAACGGACTGTGGACGTGCCTTCTGTACACACTTAGCGGGGAGTACGGATCACTGAACACAAAACAAAGGGGAATCCTACAGGGTCGGCATTTGGGCTTGTTAGCAAAGTCGATGGAAGCCTGGAGTTTCTAAGCAACAGGCAATCCTACTTACGTCTCCTCGGAAGTAAGCCTTGCCGAACCTGCTAAGCTTAGTGCTAAGTAGACATGTATAGGATCCCGCCGCAAAAGTAGTTAGGATCCTGTGGCAACCAGTCCCAATTTAAACAAATCGGGTCGTTTATTTCCACTAGCGCACTGATGTCATCACAACGGATAACGATGAACTAAAGTAAAAGAAAGAAAAAAAATGACGAGGAGGAGAATTTATTGCGTTTCTATCCAGCCCTTCCTCCAAAAGGAGCGCAGATAAGAGAGTAACAAAACAACGCAATTGGAATTCCACGAGGGACCTTGGTGTGTCTCTCTATTAACTTGTCCCATGGCAAAAGCGATTGGACCCAGGTCTCCTCCTCTGGGCTCTAAGGCCACGGTGGGCATCCCAGAAGGGGGAGGGAGTTTGAGGCCAGCGCGCGCTAGGGGTGGCCTCTTTGAAGTTTCCCTTCGCCCCAAAGAAAAGCTGGAGGTCGCTTTTCACCACCAGATCCACCCATTCTTCCCCAGCCTCGGCCACACGGTGAATCCCTTTTGCCTTCGTGTCAGGCTCCGCGACCTTTTTTAAACAGAGACTAAGCAGCTCGCAAATGCGGGCTGGCAGGCCTGAGTATCTCGCTAGCTTCCCTTGCCATCTATCAATCCACCTTTCTAATTAGACTAATTAGGAGATCTGTGGCCTGCTGCGGGCCCCACAGACTAAGTGCTTCTGGTTTATGAAAGGACCCCCTGAATACTCGCCATGGGAGGGCGGCTTTTCAGTGGGGGAGTAACAGTTGCCACCATTTATCCCTTCGCCATTGAAAAAAGAGCTCGATTAAAATGTTTGGGAACTTTCGCGGCCCCCGATCCCGCCCTAATTAGGGGTCCCGGGGAGATCACTCGAAGGGGGAAGAGAAGGACCTCCCCTCCCTTCCTTCTTGCCTTCGCAGGGCAGATCTGAAGGCGGACAGAGAATGCAGGCCTTCATCGCCCGGGGGGGGAAGAGAGGCGGCGACCGGATCCCTTTCATCTCGGCAGCTCGCAGATGCGTCTCTTGGAAACACTCCTCGGTCCTTTCTGACCACTCCTTCGAAAAGAATCTTCAACCCCGGAACCAGTGGGGAAAAGCAAAGAGCCTCTGAGCACGTGCAAAGTGCGTTTCGCGCGTCACAGAGCTTTCACAGCCCGGGTTAGCGATTTATGGGTAGATGAGAGGGCTCTTCTCCTTTTAGAATTTCAGGGTTGTTGCGTTGGAAGAAGGGACTCAAAGGATCATCTAGCCCGACCCCCACGACGCCTTACTATTTAGACATTAACCAGGAACATTTGGATGGGTGAACAGGAGGGAGTTCTAGTTCTCCAGGCGGCAAAGCCGGGGTTTGGGTTTCGGAGGCACTCTTGAGATTGTTGCTGGGTGCGTCAAAAGGACAGAAACTCTGCCCCCACCCCCAATCGTTTATAAAGTCTGCTTTTAATCTGCCATTTCCTCAACACCTCAGTTCATAGCCAGCCTCATCCGAATCGTCGAGTTCCACCCTGTTTAGATGGCCTCCCCATAATGGAACTAATATTTGCCCATCTCTCTCTGTGTGTAGCTGAAAGCCTCGCCAATCCATTCCAGCGGGGATCCAAACTCTGTTCCGGAACTTCTTACTTTTAACTATCTAGCCCCATGTTAAGGATTAAGGTATCCGGGCATCCTCAGAAATCAATTACTTCCACCCAAATAAGTTATTTCCAAGTCCTGAGCAAAAAGCTGGCAATCAGTCCTATTGAAATCAATTACACTTTCATCTCAGAGTGGCTGAACTGTGCCAAATGGGCTGAAGCCAAATAATTTCCTGCTTTGGGGCCTTTTGGTTAACAGCAGGCCCACGTAAGAAATGTTGTCCTCTTATATTCCAGGTTCGAACCATTTATCGTTCCCATTCTGCATCCTTTTTTATGGAGATACGAGAGATCGAACCCGCGAGGTTTTGCAGGGGACCTAGGATGGGTTTTCACGCCCTACGAAGTGCATATTTCTGTTTTAAAGGGTCTTGGCTGGAGCTCTTTCCCGTCCCAAAGAAGGGCTGCGTGGGAAGAGGTACTAACAAACTATGCCTTTGGAAGGAAGGAAGAGGAAAAAAGAAAGAGAGCGCGCTTGGAAGAGGCGAGCGGGGGCGCACCTGACGCAGCCGCCTGCCCTCCCCATCTTCAGCTTAGTTGTGCATGGGCTGTTTCTAAAGATGTAGCAAGCAAAGACTTTCCCATCTTGCAAGGCGGAGGGAAGCTTTCCTATGGTTCTCCTATAATCCCTCTTAGTGGAAAAGAGCCAGATGCACAAAGAAATATCATCAGGTCAATGTTCTTAATCTTGTTAGGTTAGAAAAAGGGAACCTAAGCAAAAGATGTTATTAACTAAATGTCAGCCCATGCTGTTTCCAAAACTCCTTGAACCATAAGCTCTTCTAATTTTTTTCCCCTTTTTAAATCAGACGTAACTACTGTAGGTGTAACATGATCTCACAGTCGCGGCTCTTAATACTTCTGTCTGGCTAACGAGGAGAGCCGTTTTAGGCCCTTGCAAGGAAGTGTTTTTATCTTTTAAAAAGCCACTCCATGCAGCAAGAGGGGAGGCGCATAACCTAGACAGGGGTTATGTCAGTTTTACAGATGACGGCGATACTAGACAGATACTAGCTTTGCGCCGGGCGGGGAAGGAAAAAAAATTGGTTCTGGAACGGATACAATATTATTCCTTGGTACGTAATACATCTGTTAGTCAATACCCACTTCTGCTGATTTCTCTCTCTCTCTCTCTGAACAATATGCCACGTTTAATTGGTATCCTGTTTATAGTCGTGATGCTGTTTCCCCTCCTTTCATCATAAATCAGGTCGCAGCAATGTTCACACGTGCACGCGTATCTTCCTGCGCGCTGGCTGGCTGGAAACTAAATCTGTGAGTCTTCTCCAACGAAAGGAGAAGACGATTTTGAGACGATATGACAGTTCTGTCTTTAGTATCTGGAGATCCGTGGTGGCTCATTCACACGTGCAGGTCACCACCTCTTGATGCTGCTTGATCATTAGGTAATCAAGAGGGAAACTAAACCACACAAAGAGTCCATGCCTGGAGATAGAATAAGCGCAGGATCTCTCAAATCCGACTTTCTCTTCCTAAATTACACCTGTAAGGCGTACCCGGATAGCTTGCCCTGGGCTTTTCTTCAAACAAAGAAACCCCAGCCAGGACGCGTAAAGAAGTAGGAACTTCAGTCTTCCTGTATTAAGGTCATGATTCAATTTCACAACAGCAAATGGATTAAATACAGTTAGGAGCTCGCCTGCTTTCTTTCCTCTCAATATCCAGTATTGCAACGAATGTCCGCTGTTAAGAGCTGGGGGCGCCTGAATGTAAGGGCTTACCCTAAAGTAAGCGGGTAGAAGTTTGCAAGAAGTTTTTTCTCTGTCAGGTGCGCATTAAACTCCATTCATTTAATCAATGGACCTTCTCTCCATAGGAAGGTTAAGGGCTGCCCAGGCAAGAATAGGGTTTTTTCCCCTGGTCCCCGGCGACCCTACACTATTTTCTTTTTACAGAGGGGAGGGCGTTAGCTCTGTGGCAGAGCACCAGCTTCGCCTGCAGAAGGCCCCAAATTAAATTAATCGACATCTTCTATTAAGTCCGGGGGAAACTTCCAGTTTAAAGACTCTCTAGAGAGCTGTTGCCAGTCCTTGTAGACAATATTGAGCTAGATGGACCATTGATCTGACTCGGTATAAGGCAGCTGCCTAGGTTTCTATGTTTTGGGATGCAATTTCACTGATTAAAGGGTGCATTAAAAAAGTTTGAAGAAATGGAGACGCTTTTGTAGATACCTGGTTAGGTGAAATGCAAACGAGAAAACTTCAGTGCACTGCTGTGCTTGAAGAACAGGTTCTCCGTTGTGCGAAGGATATACAGTACTGCTGATAGTAGCCATTTCTTATGGGGTCGGTTTGGGCCGCCAAAGACAGGTTTTCTTGCCCCCGAGGTGGCTGTTAATACAGAATGGCTCCAAGACTACGAGAGAGACCCTCGGCTTTCCTTATACAGTGGTACCTCGGGTTACATACGCTTCAGGTTGCGGACTCCGCTAACTCAAAAATAGTGCTTCAGGTTAAGAACTTTGCTTCAGGATGAGAACAGAAATCCTGCTCCAGCGGCGCGGCAGCAGCAGGAGGCCCCATTAGCTAAAGTGGTGCTTCAGGTTAAGAACAGTTTCAGGTTAAGAACGGACCTCCGGAACGAATTAAGTACTTAACCCGAGGTACCACTGTATATTTAGAATGTAGGCGGATAAAAGGGGGAAACGGTTAGCAGTTACTGAACAGCACTCTAACAGCGCAATCCCCTAAGTATCAAGTCAGAAGTAACTCCACTGACTTCGATGGAACTTGCTCCGTCGGTAGAGCAGGAGACTCTTAATCTCAGCGTCATGAGTTCGAGCCCCACGTTGGGCAAAAGATTCCCGCATCTCAGGGGGTTGGACTAGCTGACCCTTGGGGAACCATTCCAACTCTACAATTCTATACTTCAGTGCTTATGGATCCAAATCATCAAAATAACATCAGGCTCCGAACGGAGACGTGTCTGGGCTCCAAAGGTGGGCTGGGGAGGCGTGAACAGCGATGCTTGCAAGTTCTCGCCCTTAGGCCCTCCGCAAGCTCCAGGGAGCTGAGCTATTATGCCTTCCAGGAGGGGAAGATGAGGTAAGGCCAATTAAAGATAATCGCAACCAAGGAAGGAGCAAAATAGTAAGGAGGCCCGGGAAAGAGGAAGCCCCCGGTGCTGTTTTGCAAGCGGAGCTGCATCCATTAAAATAAAACGTATGTCCAAATTCGGATTTTCAGGAGGGGATCTGTGTAGAGGATGACTTAACATCGGTTTTAGCACGTTTACATTATTTGGACGTCGAAGAAGAAGGAACCAACGTTTTAAGCCTGCAAAAGTAAATCAACAACAACACGATACCGGCCCTGTGACTTCTATGCTGGAAGCTGTTTATTAGGATATTTGTGATCAGGCGCTGAAAAGCTGCATCATTTACAGACTGAAAACTATTCATGTTTAATTGGGAGCAAGTCCCGTTGAACAGAGTGGGAGTTTCTTGGGGGGCGAGGAGGCATAGGATTGAGTGGCGCGTTGCCCAGCTTGGATAGAAGTGCATTAGAAAAAGCAGCTCTTAATCTTAGTTTGGTTTATTTGATAAGATTTATATACCGCTTAATCGACAAGCACCTGTAAGTGGTTTACCTGAAGCAAGATAAAGTGGTCGTTAAAAATACCCATACAGTGAAAAGTTAAAAGCAAATGGGTATAACGCTAATTGATCAAGGTATAAATACAATCAGAAACAAATGTAACTAATAAAATGACATGCCCCAGAACTTTGTGGAGTGGTGAGCGTGTCAGATGGGGCCGAACCGGATTCAGATCCCTGCTCCGCTGTGAAGTTCCCTAGGTGATGATGGACCATTCACAAGCTTGCAGGCGAGCCTTCCTCACGGGGCTGTTGTGAGATGAAAAAGGGAGCGGGAGGAAGACCACGCAGCCAATTTCAGCCCCTCGGAGGGAAGGCAAGGAATGAAGCAAGGAAAGTAAAACAAATGTCAGAGACTGTCCCTGGAATGTGTAAAATAACAACGTACTTAGCGCGCTCTCATACCGCGATCATCTATCCTGGCAGAACCAAGGCTGCCGTTGCCTGCGAGTCAGTGATATTTACTTCCAAATAGACATGCCTACCAGCTGACTTCTAAGACTCTGGGAAATGGAAAGTTTCTAACTCCACAATTCTATTTTATGCCTCTTTCCTCAGTTATATGTTCTGTTATGTTCAACGGAGCACAACAGTTCTGTTTTTAGGGCTTTCTAATATTTGTATCACTGTGTGCTTTTAGTTGCATCCGTTTTATTTTTTGAGCCGCCTTGGGTCCTGTGCTGGGAGAAAGGCGGTATATTAAACAAACGAACAAATGTGCGCACACTATAGACCTGACAGGATGTCTAGGATTGCACGAACAGTCTTTATTTTTTCCCAATTGGAAAGTAATGAATGGCGCACCCCGCCCTCAAATCAAGAGTGTGCTGGGCAAGGGTTGGGGGAGAGCTGGGTGCGAATCTCCACAGGAAGATTGCTGGGCGACCTCGGAGCCCCAAGCCTGATTTCTCAGCCTAAACTACCTCACAGGGTTGTTGCGAGGGAAAAATGGAGAGGGGGGGGGAGGGAGGGAGGGAACGTAAAGAGTCGCCTAATACCGATCCTTTTAGCTCAGCACTATCTACATGGTTAGTGATGTAAGGAAGTGAGAGCTGGACCATATAGAAGGCTGATCGCTGAATAATTGATGCTTTTGAATTATGGTGCTGAAGGAGACTCTTGAGAGTCCCACGGACTGCAAGAAGATCAAACCTCTCCATTCTGAAGGAAATCAGCCCTGAGTGCTCACCGAGTGGAAGGACAGATCGTGAAGCTGAGGCTCCAATACTTGGGTCACCTCATGAGAAGAGAAGACTCCCTGGAAAAGACCCTGATGTTGGGAAAGATGGAGGGCACAAGGAGAAGGGGACGACAGAGGACGAGATGGTTGGGCAGTGTTCTCGAAGCTACCAGCATGAGTTTGACCAAACTGCGGGAGGCAGTGGAAAACAGGTGTGCCTGGCGTGTTCTAGTCCATGTGGTCACGAAGAGTCGGACACGACTAAACTACTAAACAACAACATCTACATGGTGTCAGCGGCTCTCCAGAATTTGGGGCAGGTGGGTTGACTCCGGAACCTCCTTCTGCCTGCCAAGCAGCTGTCCTACCACGGAGCCAGGGCCCCAGCCCGCCCTACAGAAAAACCCAGGGCTTCGATTTCCAGGCTCGTTCCTCCCGAGGAACTCAACTGGACTGAAGGCCGCTTCGCCTTTTTCTGGCGCTGCGGCACGACGCGTCCCTGGATCGCCTGCTGCTGGGTTTGGCGAGGCGGGCGCGCAGGCCAGAATGCCGGGGCCTGGGAGCGCCGCGAGCCGAACATTCCCTTCCCAAGCACCCTCGTAACCTCCTGTCTCTTTCCCCTCCGCGCTGCTGTTTCAAATAATTGCAAGGCAAACACTGAAAACAAACCAAAATAAATAAAAGGGCGGATTCTTCGAGCTCGCCCGGGGAGGAATAAAATCCGAAGAAGGGTTGAGCCGAGCTGCTTTTCGGTCGCTGGGGAGCAATTTGCTTCTGCCTGCCTTTGGAGATCGGCGCACGAAAGAGAAAGAGAGAGTTTCAGCTGGTTGCTGCCTTTGGCCCAGTTCCACTCAGATAGTTCTTGCTGACCCCTTTGCTCCGGGGGAAGGAGGGAGTGGGTGGGCTCAGTTACTATGCCCCCAGTTTAGCAGCTGCCGGATTGGGGAAGAAGAGGGACGGGAGCAAGTCAAGGCTCCCCCATCAAAGCAACTCCATGCCAGGGTAAAGATGCACCTGATGAATACCTGCCTGATAGGGGTGCTCCAAAGGCACAGAAGTTCTGTCGAGTTGTGCTGGATTTCTTTAAAAATTGCTGGAGGGTCAGGCCCTGGGCAGCTCTCCTCTCTAACCCCAGTTCTGCGTGGGAGTTGGCTGTAGTGACTTGGTGGTTAGGGACTTGCACTCTGTGCATGCTCAAAAGCCCTGCTTCTTCTTCAGGTATTGGTCTGGATTACAGGTTATATAAAACAAATAAGGCTGTAAATGAAACATTAGTATTGCATAATATATATTATAGTATATAAAATATAATGTTATAACTAAATGAATAAAATAGAAGATTATTCATTCTATGCATAGAATATATTGTGCTTTAAATATATGTAATCTGAATCCTGAAATACTATTCAAGGGCAGAAGAGGGTGTGGGATTTCCAATCAAAATCACAAATGCATGATTGCCAGACAGGCACATGAGGGGCTGACACTCACAGAGTTCCTGAATCAATATAGAAGCAAATGTATAAGGTCACTTCCCTAATGTCTGGCAGGAATGTGAGCAGACATACATGGCTGGGCTCCTATCAAAGCCCAGACTCCATTTTGGAAACCAATTTTGTATTTTGCAACTAATAAGTACTTTTTAACTTGCATGTGACTTTGATGTATTTGCTGCCTGCATTGAAATGTAAGTAAACCTTTTTGTTTTTACTAAAATGTGTGACTCATTATTAGCAGTGGGGTCAAAGAAGGGAAGGCAACAGACCACAAATAAACAGGGATAAAAGGTGTAATTGCCTAACTCTTAGCTTCCAGTAACCTGCAAAAGTGCGTAAGTGTTTTGACTCTGCTTAAAAGGCTTCACAGTCTGTTTATTACGCTCATGTTTCTCCCACACATGTGTGACAAGAGCTGAGTTTTAAATGTTAATTTATAGATGCAATCCTTAATCCATCTCCATCAGAGGGTGTTAATTTATATTTATCCTTTAATCAATATTTCTTTGCAATACAGTTTGATGTGGAAAAAATAAAAAGCCAAACAGGATCAATTTTTTTAAAAAAACATATAGGCTATATTGGTGTGGGATGTCTCCCAGATTCTTAAGCTGGTATCCAGCCTCCCAACATCTCATAATACTAAAATTTACAATTTCCTCTCCAAAGGCAGAAATGTTAGAGTTGAGGTGTGTGGAACCAGTGCTATCCAGGTACTACTGGATTCCAGTTGACACGATCCATGATCAGTGACCATGTTGACTGAGGATGTTGTGAGTCCAGCAGCATCTGGAGGGCCACAAGTCCCCCTCCCCGTAGTAGGTGGGAAAACTTGCAAATAATAAATGGTCTGCACTATGCCAATCTGTTGGTGGGGAAAGTTTCATGCTTTGTCCTTCCTAAGTATTAAAACATAAATACCATGCACATCTAAAACCATATCCGGGAGAAGCGTTCTAAGACAGCTTTGTCACTAATATCCTGTGTGAATCTCAAGGGCACCAGGTTGGGGAAGGCTGTTCTATAGCAAGCTGGAGAGTTCTGGGGAACGCAAGAAAGAAGGGGCAAAGCAGAGGTGTTTCCTTCCAGATGTTGAATTACAACTCTTACCATCCCTGAGCACTGGCCATGCTGGTTGGGGCTGATAGGAGCTGGAATCCTGCACCAACTGGAGGGCCACAGAATCCCTACCTGTAGATCAGGTGGTAAAACTTTGCTTGGATTCTCTGTGCTACATCAATCTGTTGGTGGGAGAAATCACATGATTTGTATTTCCCAAGTATCTCAACATAAACTCCATGCGCATACAAAACTATGCCTGGAAGAATTATAAGCTTTGTCCCTGAGATGCTGTGTGGATCTTTTTAATTGCTATAGGTTGATTTCTTGCTTGCCATCTAAAATAGTTTTTCTGTTTGGCATGATTTCTAAGTTGACCGAATCCTAAACCATCACTGAAAAGATGTGGTGCATATTCAGATCCCTACTTCTTCTGAGAGGTGCTTTGATTTGTTCAAAAGAGGA